ATTGATGGAGTCAAAAAGTGCAACTCCTACATCAGAGATCTAGCGATGCAGTGGCCGTGACCTTAACGTATTTAACAGAGGAATGTTAACTTCAGCTCCTAAACATTTACATTTTGTAAAATGTAGCAACTGGGCATTTGTGAGCAAACACGGCAGCCAATTTGTAGGTATCAATGTCCCACAAGTATCAATGAAGTAAATGACCAACTTTAATACAAATTAATATTTTTAGTACTCTATAAAATCTCCTCAAATATCATCCTTGTTTGCTTTTTTATTTTCAGTTTGAGTAAATATATTGATTATGTTTCATTGGCTTTATTGTATCAGCCTGGCTCAGCAGGTAGCACTCTCAAATCTTAAGGCAGAAGGTTGTGGGTCCAAACTCCATGTCAGGAACTTGTATTGTCTAAGTTGTCACTCTAATGCAGTGCTGGGGAAGTACTGCATTAATTGGAGGTGATGTTTTCATATGAGATGTTAATCGATGTCCCATCTGCCTCTTCGGGTTAAAGATCCCACGGTGCAACTCAAAGAAGAAAGGGATTCCTCATTGTTTCCTAGTGAACAGTGCCCCGAATAAAATTGGTGATTCACTTCATGACTGTTTGTGAAACATTGCATATGTGCATATTGGTTGCCGCTCAACTTACAAAGTTACTACACTTTACACTATATCCTGTGAAAGGCTGTGAGATGTTCTCTGACCTGGGACATCGACAGACTACGGCACTACCTCACCCCTCACGCTGCTGAAACTGGTCCACGCCTGTATCACCTCAAGGCTGGACTATGGGAACTCTCTCCTCGCCGGCCTTCCCGGCACCTCCCTCCACAAGCTGCAGGTCATTCAGAACTCTGCAGCTCGTGTACTGTCCCGCACCAGGCTTCGCGACCACATCACTCCCACCCTCGCCCTCGCTCGCCTCCACTGGCTCCCCATCCCCCAGAGGATCGAATTCAAGATCCTCATCCTCACCTACAAGGCCATTCACGGCCTTGCTCCCTCCTACCTCTCTGACCTACTACCCCCTACCTACCTGCCCGTACCCTCCGTTCCTCTGGCTCCAGTCTGCTCCACATCCCCCGCCCCAACCGCCCTACCATCGGTGGTCGGGCCTTCAGCCTCTCAGCCCCGAGGCTCTGGAACTCCATCCCCCAGTGCCTTCGCCGCCTCCTCCCTTTCCTCCTTCAAGGCCGGTCTCAAGACCTTTCTCTTTGACCGTACCTTCAGCTCCCCTCTCGACTCTCTACCCCCTCCTCGCTCCCTCCCTTCCCTCCCCTCACCCTGACCATTTCCCCCCTGCTCGCTCCCTCCCTTCCCTCCCCTCACCCTCACCATTTCCCCCTGCTCGGGTCCTGACCCAACTGTACAGCGCCTTGGGACGTCCTCCTGACGTGAAAGGCGCTCTATAAATGGAATCTTGTTGTTGTTTTGCATCTTTCTGAAATCCACTTGCAGATTTGCTCGTCTATCTCCTTCCCACTATTTGGTGGTCTATAGTATACACCAAACAGAGTAATAGCTCGTTTTCTGCCTCTTAACTCAAACCAAATAGATTCTGTTTTTGGACTCTAGCACATCGTCCTTTTCCAGGCCCGTAACCGTGTCTTTAATCAATATTGCCACTCCCCCTCCTTTTTTACCTTCCTTATCCCTCCTGAATACATTGTAGCCAGGAATATTCAGCCCCCATTCCTGCCCTCGTTTGAATGGTTAGTTATTACAACTAAGCTACTTGCACTATAGTATAAAACCTGTGAAGCTATTCAGGAATACTTTCATTATCAACCCCAATTGAGGTGTCGGCCTGGCCCAATTAGTAACACTCTTGCCACTGAGTCCAAAGGTTATGAGTTCAAGCCATTCCCAAGCTCACAGCATAGGCTGACATTGCAATACACTTCTTGGGGAACACTGTATTGTCGAACTGGATGAGAGGTTAAACTGAGGTCCCATCAGTCTGTTCAGGTGGAAGATCCCACTGCACCATTTGAATGGAGAAGAAGGTTTCTCCAACAATGCCCCAGAAAGAAAATTGCTTGTTTACTTCATGACTGTTTGTGAGATGTTATTGGACATGAATTGACTGCTACATTCACCTACTAATCACACTTTACAGAAAAACTCTGAAGTTCTTTGAGATATTTTGACATAAGACACTATACCAAACTCTTCTAATCTGTTAAATGATACCAAAAAAATACAAAGTTTGACCTGTGACCCTTTTTACCTTGTGACCCGTCTCCTTGTTTTAACTTTTTTTCTTCCCTACTTCATTTATTTTCCTCATTTGCATTATTCATTTGCCTTTTTATACAAAAGCCTATTCAATCGCTTAAAAAAGGAGTGATGTATTTATGCAACGTTTTTTTTGATGGTGTTTTTCACTGTCAGTTATTGTGGAGCATAATGTACATAATTGTACCTTTATAAGGTATTTGAAAAAAAATCTATTTCATATCTGAACCATTTGAGAAACAATATCAAGCCTTAATTTTGAATGCTGTTTTCAGCACCGTATTTTCTTAGACTGGTTTGTAATAATGGTGATTCCTTGAGGATAGTCAAAATGAAAGCATTGTAAATCACTAACAGTGCTTGCCTTTCCTTCTTTATTTACTTGACTTCTAAAAAATCGAAATATGATCAAGACTTCTTGAAACATTAATTCTTTTAGCAATTTTGTTTAGCAGCTCCATATAAATCTTCCCTGAAAGTTGGCATTTACCAAAGTACAAACATTTATTTTCTAATAGTAGGATCTTGGGAAACCCCCAAAATGGCTAACAGTGACTACAATTTGTTTGTGGTAATAATTTAACTTTTATTTCCTTTTTGAGAGTTCTACCCTGTCTTCCTTTCACCTCAACTCAGCTGCCTTTGGGCAAGATTGCCTTCTCTTTGCCTGCTCCACACTGACAACCCAGAGTATTCAGGCTTTGTGTATTTGTGCACAATCTTCGTGGGTAAAAGCAATACAGTATATGCCAAATTTGCAAAGAAACAATTAACTTCTGAAGCTTTCGAATACACCCGTGCTTTGGATTGAGTAATATTACTCAATAGTCCAATGAGTCTTTTAAATGTTCTAAATGGCTTAAGCTGACATCCTTTAGTATAATGTTAAAACAAAAGCCTTTTAAACCAGACTGAAGATAATCCACTCCATGCTGTGATTAAATCTTATTTTGAATTTGTCGTGCTCATTCATGCACAGACCATAATGTCTCAACCTTAAATTCCTAGTAGCTGTAATTCACTCTTAGATTTCTAAGACAAACTTGTTTGCACAAATATACAAGAGTTGTATACATAATTTGTGGTCAGAGCAAAAATTAGATTTTTTTAAAAATCTTGTACTTGTGTGGCAACACACCAGATCTAGGACTACATCATGTGAGTGGTAGTAGTTAGGTTGTCAGTTTGTCAGTACATGTTATTTCTCTCTTTTTCTTCCCCCCCTGGATCCTATAGTCTCATAATTGTAGTTTTGAACAGGAAAAAGGGGATTCTCCTGGTGTACTGGACCATCAGTCCCCAGATACAATTGGTCATTCACTTTGTGGTGATTTGTGTGACATTGCTGTGCGCAAAATGGCTGTCATGACAGCAAACAGTTTGTGATGCACTTTGAAACATTTTGGCACCATGAGGTAAATCAAATGCAATAATTGATAGGTTATCAAATGCTATGATTATGATAGATGATATCGGTGTACAGTGCCTTGGCCTGGTTATGTGAACTTGCTGGGAGAGTGCTGCATTTTCAGAGGTGCTATCTTTCAGATGTGACATGAAACCAATATCTTTCTGCAGTTAGGCATTAACAATCCCGGGAGTATTTGAAAAGAGAAGGGAGTTTCTTTCAGTGCCCCAACTTACAATCCTCAAGACTTAACTGGTCATTTACCTTATGACCGTTTGTGTGACCTCCCTGGCATAAATGACTTTTGCATTTGCCTATGATGTGTTTTTGGTCAGCCAGGGGTTTGACACATGCGGACCCCATCATCATGCATAAGAATATCCAAACCAAACTGAGAATTACATGCATCCCACTTACACATGGAAATTACAGAGATAGTTTCCTGGAACAGAATGCACTCTCTCCCTGGAGGGCTGCACCCTGCCCGACATGAAAGGTGCTATACAACAACAACAACAACAAGATTCGATTTATAGAGCGTCTTTCATGTCGGGAGGACGTCCCAAGGCGTACTTTTGTTGTTGTTGCTTACCTAATTCCGGAAAGTATTAGGTTCTGGTTGGCAAGAACCAAGGCTTGGGGTAAGACAGGGTGAAATTTGAAAATACTTTGTGCCATGTGACAAATTGTATTTAAAGTGAACAAGCTTTGCACTGCCTGATGCATCAGGGAATATTTTGGACTATTCATTTTTTAGCAGTAATGAGAGGAATTCATCGAATTATACAGCCCAGAAGGAGGCCATTTGCCCCATCGGGTATATGTCAGTTCTTTGAAAAGAGCCATCCAAATCAATCCCATTCCCCCGCGCTCTCCCTGTAGCCCTGCAAACTTGTTCTCCCTAAATAATTATCTATTTCTCTCTTAAAAGTTGCTATCCATAATGCATCATGGTACACACGTTTAACACCACAGCAAAATAATAAAAGCACCCCTTATTGGCTGTGTTTGCATTCAGTTGGTACTAGACATTACTGATGGTCTTATTGGCATTGTTATAAGAAGCACAAGATACTCATCATGGTTTCAAACGTCATTCTTAGATTGCTTGGATACTGCTTACAAGTTGCAACCATGTCCTGTACGTGTTTTTACTTATTTTTGAAATGTCAGCGCATTTTCGTTTCAGAATTTTTTTTGGGTGATGCTTCTTCCTCAACCCCCATTATGTACAATAGGTGGTTGCAATTGCCTGCCTGTTGCTTGTAAATTGTCTGATTCTCTAACAAGTTAATTGCTTCATGTTTTGCTAATTCCCGAATGAAATATTCATTGTTTTCTTATTTTTAGTACAATACTGGAGGAGGAGAAGGTGCAGCAGGAAGAACGAATGAGAATGGAGCAGAGACGGCAGATCACAGTCTCCTGGGACTCAGGAGGATCAGATGAAGCTCCTCCAAAGGTCAGTCAGACAGGCACTGAAGCCCATCTACTTACCCACTCAATCATAAATATCCCACGTAAATAGTCTCTATGGTATATAGAATTTGTAAGTCTGAGTAGAGGATTGCACTGAAATGGTACTCGTGTTACTTGATTAATTCTGGCTCAATAGACCTCAGGACTTTATCAAGCTGGATGGCATCAGTGGCTGGATACACTTTGCTGTTAATGTTTATCTAATACATGAAACTTGCTGTGTAAATATCTTTAAAACAGTGTACCTAAAACTGAATTCAAGTGTAAATGGTTCTGGTTTAAGATAGCAATAAGAATAGTGGAAGGAAGTTTGCATTTTATTTTTCCAGAGGTGCAGTGTTATTTTTTTCAAACTTGAGTGTCAATTATGGAAGTTCTACAGTAAATCGCTAAAATTATTTTAGATTATGTGCAAACTCCTCTTTGGATATGTTTGAATTTTGGGGGTGGGGGTAAATGATGATCGAACTTGTTTGAAAACTGGAAACTGTCTGTGTTGAGATAGGAGTGAAAGATTCAGTCTGAAGTATTTATTTTCTGAACTTCTGTTAAGTCCGTGCCACTAGTAGGCATGCATAAGCATGTTATACCAGATCTTTGAAATGCTTCACCTTGGATTCACATTCTGTGTTTTAATCCGTAATGAAGAGAATGCTTTTCCAAACCTTCAGCTTTCCTGATGATTTTGCATACTAAACACTGTGGATTACATTTTAAACCTCGCACACATTTGACAACAACTTGTATTTAAAGAACCATTCTGTAAAATAACAAGCAATTTAAAAAGATGTAATTGCATAGGTTTAGTTTAAACTGCACATTCTCTTTCTTCATGCCAGTATGCATTGACATGCTCCCTTATATCCCTGGATTAAAATAATGATGCCATCTAGCCTGTGAAATCCATTTCCATCATTTAATGTCTACATATCAAAAGCTATCGAATATAGCAACAAACCAGTGTTCAGAGCAAATAAAAATTGAGCTTTAGTTGATGGTAATATTTCATTCTTCCCTTTTTAGTCTACTCAAAAAAATTAATTTCACTGGATTTTCTAGCATTATGCCAAATGAATTGCCTCTTGGGTGGATTGTCTGACATTTTGTGTAAACCTGATTATAGCCACATTCTCTGAGATTTGTGATGTGTTACATGGAATGTACTTAAATCCTTCATGGTATTTTCACTGGACAAAAAGAAAAGGATCCTGTATATATACTTCTAGAAATATTTAGTGTTACCTTTTATTTATTGAATTTTTTTTATGTAAGTAGGTCACAATCTCATCTGGGGTGTGCCTGCTGTGCTTTTATTGCAGATGTTTGTGGTTTGGGTGTTTGTTGGTTATCCCATAATGCTCATAATGGTCATGCATTGTTGTTACACTGATTCATGCTGCTTTTAATGCTTTTAATCTGCTTTTGTGTGTCTGTCTGCAGCCTGCCCGGCGGCCGCCTTTGCAATACAGTCTTAGTTTGGACAGTCTATCTTTTCCTGAGCTCTCCCAACGCAACTCCACGCTTTGTTTTTGTCCAAAACAGCTACCTCAAGCTCATGAACATCCATTCCCTCCAGGCAGGCTCATTCCTCTGCGACCTCGGCGTAGGCCTTCGCTACCCCCTTCAGCCTACCGGCAGAGTGCTCGCCCACTCCCTCTTTATTTTGACAGGCTGAACGTAAATCTGCAGCGACAACTGATGTCTGGAGAATGGAGAAGAAACCAGGGCGAAGCAATGGTTAGGATTCACTGTGTAAAGGGAGTGCAACACCACCATAGAAGTATCACATGATTAGCCTCACGTGAAACTAATGAAAAGAATCCTGTGAATCTTACATTCAATGTCAAATTTACAGACCCATAATATGGGTTACTTGTACTGTTAAAATAGTTCTTTTACATGAGAACTACAAGTATGCTATTTAGCCATTAAGCCTGTTCCCCCATTTTACTAGATTGTGACAGATCTTTAAATCCCATTACCATGATCTCCATAGCCCTTCCCCCTTTACTTCACACATCTTTCTCCCTTTGAAACATCCCAATGACGACTGTGGCTAAAGAAACATTTCTCAGTTTTTCCTCAGTCACTTTCCTCATTCCCTGTAGGCCAATATCCAGGAATGGTATGGTATCGAGGCTAAACTGTTTCCAGATCTCTCTCAATGCCAATCTAAACCAACCATTGGAAAGTGTACAAAAGCACTTATTTTTTCCTCTCCGATCTCATACAGGAAGCACCTCACTTCCATGAGATATGTCCCCAATGGCAATGTTGAGATTGATAGAGTACCATCAGGACTCTATTGTCCATTCATGCTTGTGCAGGGTAAGCAATAGTTTTTGCAAACAAATGTGAAATTATTTTTTTGGGTGCAGTGTAGTTTTAAAATTGTGAAAAAATTTGCAATTAATTCATAAATATTTCCCAGTTGCAATTCAGTTGACAGTGTATTAACACATCAGACTGAAGAAAACCTTATTGAAAAGTATGTTGATAATTGCAATTCTTGTCATGTAGAATTCACGTTCAGTTTTTTTTAGTCTAACTCAGCATGTCCATTATAGTGCTCCCTTTCACTGAGAATCTTGAAACCTCAGCCCTTTGCTCTATCTGAACTGTTGCTTTAGCATGTGTAACATTTGCTTGCCCTTTCGTGCATCTTTATTTATTGTCTTTCTGTTATATTACTGATTTTACTTTCAAACTGGTGACTAGTTTTAAAAGACTCCAGTTTGTTATATTGCTGCCTTTGATATACACAGCTTGGTATTAACTATTTTCCTCTGTTAGCACATTCGCTGTTAGTAAAATTGCTGTGTCCAGGGATTTGTGTGTGTATCTGTGTCCAATATACACTGAATGATGGAGTTTCTTTATATACCTAATGCCAGGAATGTGAACGGTTCAGACACCATAACCTTATTTTACAACTGAGGGCTGATTTTCAGTCCACATGTTTTTTATTTCATCCTTGGGCAGTGCAATATTTGGATTATTGAGACACAAAATCTGTAGACAAATTTATGTTTATATCATCTTTGAACATTTGTTCCTGCTGAAAGGTAGACAGAGCTTAAAATTTACTTTCAATTAGATTCAGTGCTTCAGGCCAGACATGACATTGAATTACATGGAATGAAGCGACATGCTAACAAGCTATTTGGCCAGACTAATCTATCCCAGTGTTTTATACTTCTCTCGAGCTCCACCCCTCCTTTACCCATCTATTCAGCGCTCCGGGATGCTACCCCATGTGAAGGGCGCTATATAAATGCAAGTTGTTGTTGTTGTATTCGCTTCTCGTTCATGCAAGACAGTCCATAGAAGCAGCAGAGAGCAGTATGAAGAAGCATCTTTCCCCAAATAAAATTCTGTCATTGCTTATAATGAGACAAACAAGTGGTAATGTAAGCCTGTAATCATTCATCTAACCAAAGAATTTCTCAATTGATTCTAGAATCAGAAAAAGTGTCAATTTGTAAACACTTCTCTGGTTACATCAGTTAAACTAGATATATTGTAAAACAATAATAATACTTCCTGTTTGATCCAATGTCTTTCATGTTGGAAGGATATCTCGAAGCGCTTCACAAGATTTATTGTCAATTGTAGTGACTGTATTTTTTAGATGAAAGTGGCAGCCATTTTGGCAGCCAAGCAGTGTCCCATAAACAGCCGTGAAGTGATTGACCAATTTGGGGAATTCGTCTTTGGGAGAAACTCCCTTCTCTTTTCAAATCATACCATGAGCAGGCAGTGGTAACCTCAATTTAACACATCATCTGAAGGATGGGACCTCCAATAATGCGTGGTATCTCAGCACTGCATTGGAGTGACAGCCTAGTTTGTGAACTCCTGACATGGGGCTTGAACTCACATCTTTCTAATTCAGAGGTGAGTGAAATTACTGAAATTTAAAGCACAGAAAGAGGCCATTCGGTCCATCAAGTTTGCCCCGGCTGTCAGAGCAAGATGTTCATTTATCTCATGGACCCATCCCCATTCAACTTCAAGCTTTTATCTTTTATATACTGTCTACTGTCTTCTTGAAACCTACAATGGACTTTATCTCAACCACCTTACTTGACAGGGCATCCATGTCCAAACAACTCTGTGAAGTAAGATGTTAAAGATCCGATGGCACTATTCGATCAAAGAAAGAAATTTCTCTTGGGGTCATTCCCAAAATTATCCATTCACTTCATGGCTGTTTGTGGGACACTACTGTGCACAGATTTATTTATTTTATTTGGCGGCTGTTGCGTCAGCTTCCAAATAAACAGTTACTACACTTAACAGTACATCCTGTGAAGATTTTTTTTTAGATGTTTTGATGATGTAGTAAACCGCTATATCAAAAGCAAGGATTCTTTTCTATTATTACCCTGTGATAGTCAGGTGGTTCTAATCAAGTGATACAATAATGCTTCATTTTAAATCCTGTCACTGACTGCCATGATATCATCTGCCACTAAATCAAAATAATGATCAAGAAATGCCCAAAAGGAAACAAAATGAGAGGCAAACTCCAGCTGTATATAGTGTATAGAATAACAAGAGCCAGAATGCATTTCAAGCACAATATATCTTGGAATCCAATGAAGTGAAAATATTTGGCATTTGCTTTGTTTGTTGTCATCCAAGCTTCTTTGATACGTTACTGCCTTTTAACATGCTCCATCCGGTCTGCACATGACCCTTGCACAATTGTATCAAAGTTGCAATGGTTTTCTGTAGCAGCCCCAGGTGTTGCACACAAATGGAAAGTGACCATCTCTGTACCCCACACTCTAGTGGCAAATAATCATAAATAGAAAACAGAAAAATATAAAACTGGTTGGAAATTGGTAAATATTCACATATTATAAGGATCAAATTACTGTAGCTTGAATTGTCTTGGATGTGGTCATACAAAGTTATTTATTTCTGTCTGAGAACTAATGAAAAACATTGGTGTCACTTCATTCTGTTTCTGTTCAAGTGATCTAATGGTGAAAATTTGAAGCTTTTACTCTGGTGTGCAGAGTTATGTAAAGCATAGTTACACATTTTAGTCATAGATATTAAAAATAAAACCACAATTTTTGTGGAAGCTGTCCATTTTAAAACTCAAGATCTTTAAATTTTATGAGCAAGTGATAGTGTGATGCAAATATGTGATTTTGGTTAAAATATTAAGGCTGAGGAGAATTGTTGAAGGCTCTATGTGTGGTGCATGAGTCAACTTACAGCATGCTGATATGTGGCACAGCTCTTCATTTGAAAGTGATATAGCAAATGTTTTTACCAAATATTGCAAGCAACAGCAAGGTTTGCATTCAGAACCTTCACTGGAGTTTTTTTTTTAATGTACTCTTTTTACTAAATGACACTTCAGCATGCAGAAGAATACACAGTCTACCTTGCATGGTACTTTTAAAAGACATGCATTCTAAATGTATTGCTTTTGCCAAATTGCTTAAAGAGAAAGCATTTCTTGTTGGCTTGATAGGCTTCAGTGAGAAAGCATCAAAAATAAATTGTGCACATTTTGACAATATACTTGTTTAACTATATTTTTTCAACATCTTCGCTGGCCTTTTGTGCTGAATTACAATACATTTATTGCTTAATTGTGTTTTCTTAATATTATTAAGATTGGCTCCATAGTAAAAAAACAAATATTGGAAGAAACATTATTAAAAGTGCACGAGAGAATGAAAGTGTCTAAAAGTAGGTTTGAGCCAGTGATTTAAAAAGTAGTAAGTGCCGCTTCTAAGCAGGTATAACACTGTGTATATTATGCGGGTGTCGGCTATTTCCTGCTATCCCACTGTATCTGTATGTAAGTTAAAAATTCAAAGGAAGCTCTGATTTGTTTTAAAATTTTACAAATTGTATTGATGCTTAAAGTGAAGCCTATATAGGCCAGCCAGTAGGGTACTAAAGACATTTTATCAAAATGTAATCCTAATTGCTTGAAATAACCAGTTTTCCTTTACATTTAGTGCACTGTCCTGTCCTGATGCATTCCATTACATGTACGTTGCAAGTACTGTCCTTGGATTGTTGTTTTCTTGTGTTCAGGTGCAAAAATGTATCGCTAACATTTTGCTTATTTCCTTTGTGTACAATAGCCCAGTCGGCCAGGCTATCCAAGTCCAAGGTCAAGTGACAGCTTTTTCCCCAGCCCCCAACACATGGTACAACACAATCATTATCAGGTAAATGATATACACTACGCTCTGCTTTTTAGTTGATCATAGTATAAATGTATGATTTGAAATACCACCGATTGGAAGTTTCATTCCTCAGAACCAATCCACTTGTCTGATTATACTGCTAGAGTAAATTGTGGTTTGAATTTGAAAAGCAAGGATTCAGAACAGCATTAACTAATTCAGCATCAAAATATACAGGCAATTCACTTTATAGTATATTCTGTGAAGTGCTTTGAGACATCTCAATGACTTGGTAGGGCACAAAATCAAATTCAAGGATTACTATTATTATAATGACTGTGTGAGGTAATCCATCTGGTAACCAGCAATATAACACAGCCGTAGCTTTCTATTCTTCTCCCACCACTCTCCAGGCCACCTTAGGACAGTGAGCACCTTCAGTGTGTAGAAGGCTGTGATCAGGGATTCGGTATTGAATGGCTTCTGGTTCTGTGCAATGAAGTGCCAGTGTGCGGAGCCATCCCATCACCTTGTACATAGATTTGAAGAATGATCCAAACATTGCTTATCAACCTTTAATTCATAAGAGCTATCAGCATTGATTGTGTTAATTATGTGTAGGTTTCTGGATACACTGGTTCACATGGAATTTCACCTATGCCTGGAAGTATATATTCAGCACAGGCGGGAGTTTTAGATCCCCACGATACATGGAATCACCATCGGCCTCAAGATATCCCAATCTGGCCACAAAATATTGAGGTAATAAGATACTTTTTAGTTTTTGGCCTGGCTCGGTTGATAGCATTCTCGCTTCTGATTCAGAAGGTTGTGGATTCAAATGCAACGTCATGTCTTTGACATAGTCTGGGTGAACACATTGATGCATTCGTCGTCTTGTGTTATACTGTGTTGTATATATTTTGAAAAAAACAGGTAATGATTCTTTGGGATATGGGGGAACTGAGGGTTGTCCTCAATTTCAACAATTGGCATCAATCAGTATCATCTTTCAACAACAGTGACTTGCATTTATATAGGGGCTTTCACGTAGGTAGCATCTCGGAAGGCTTTCAGTTATACTTAAGCCATCTGATTATATGATGAGTAGATGCTTGTTGAGGTTCATTGACCACTGACAGTCAATGTATTTTAATCAATGATTGGATTTTCAGGATTCTGGCACAATGGATATGCGTGGAATGGGACAGATGCTCCCAGCGAACGTAATGGAAGAACGGCTAATACGACAGCAACAGGAGATGGAAGAGGATCAGCGATGGCTTGAACAGGAGGAGAAGTTTTTGGTAAATTTTACACTTCAGTCTTCTGCAGTCTACACAGCTAAAGATATGTAAGACAAGAACATAAGCTGCAAGGGATAAGTTGCACCAGTCAGCAACAAAGCCACATGCGAGCTACAGCAAGTACTAAATGTGTGTCCTCCAGATAATTCAGTGACATGTCTTTCAGATGTTTTTTTCAAAATCTATTTATAGTTTAAAAGGATTACACTATATATTGTATGTCAAAAACATATAAAAGCACAAACGTTCTGCCCTGTGCTCTGAACTTAGAAGTTCCCGCATGGTCTGAGTATTTGTTTTGGATTAAACTGTAAATAGTTTACTTCTGCCTGGTTTCCTTGCTTCTTGAAACTAAACTCAGCAGGCAAAAGTAGTGATGTTTTACTTGTATGTTCAAAGAAAATAATCTGCTTACCTTTTCATGATCAGATCCTTCAATTCTACTGCACATTCGCTGAATATTGTTTGTAAAAAAAATTAACTCTACAATCTTGTGAGTTTCAATACTGATTTGCAAATTGCCATCTTTTAAAAAATTACAACTGTAAAGTAACATGTTTTATAGTTTCAGTTGATTGCATGGTTATCACTTAGTTCACTGTGGAAACCCATCACCATGTTTAAGAGTATCCAAACCAAACTGAGATTTCCATGCATAGTGGAGCGTAGTGGCTGAAAGCACGGCCACCGATGGTGGCTGGAGCCAGTTGAGTGGAGGCAGTGCATAGTGGTGTAGGGAGCACTGTAACATCAGTTCTGTGAAGGAGCCAATGGAGTTTAACAAGGACTGGGGTAATAGAGGGATGGAGTTTAGTGTGGGTGAGAATGTGGGCTGCGGAGTCTTGAATTAGTTGAATTTTGTGAGTAGTGGACACGTTACTATATTGGAATTGAGCTGCCTTGTCTTGTTAAAAAGCTGTTCCTTATGAGTACACGCACAGCGAGTATTCTTCAGAGTCATCTCTTATAGAAAATAAAATACGTCAATTTAATCTTTTCTGTATATACTCTAACTGCCAAACTAAAGATTGCACACAGCCCTTTTATGGGTTTGGAGTTGTGCCTGGAAATATGTTGAAAGAAATAAAACTATTTATATTCTTTTACAGAATCTGTAAACACTTACCATTATTCCCCAAATTCTTCTCTTGAACTTTCATGGTTCTGTGAATGGGTTTCTGATATTGAAATAGGTTGTGGGAATGTGTGTGTGTATCGGTGTCTTACCTTTCTCTGACAGATTGACAGAACATTCTTCAGATTTGCAAAACGTGAATGAGAATAATTTTAATTTTTGAGAGAGAAAAAACGTACATTACTTAGAAGCAAGTAATGTTTTTTGACCACGACCATAAATACATTGTAGAAACCGAGCAACCATTCAGCAGAAGCTTCATTATACCCAGCTTCTCCCTATTTGGATATGCCAGATATGCAAGCCCGTTGTCAAGAGAGTGCTCTTGGCAAAGTAAGATGTTGACCTGTGTCTGGAATTTGTGGTTGTTATTGGCTGCAAGGCAGTTCTGGATTTGAGACAAAATTGTAGCTAGTGAAAACAACAGTGTAATTGCTGCTGCAATAACTTATTTTCCATCGATAAGTTTTAGATACCTAGCTCTGTCTTCTGGGAAATCTGTACAAATTGAGACTGATTTATAGCCCTATGTCACTCTTTTTGAACCCAAGCATTTCTCTCTTTATGGATAAAAGACTTGAATCACATTACACAATGCATTTTTTTGTGGATTTTAAGTGAAACATAGCGACAATGTGTATAGTATAGTAGTCATTTCAGATAAGAGTAGGGCATAGGTCTATCTAGCCTTCCCATCCCCCAAAGATTCCTTGTACGATATTGTCTCGTACTCAAAATACCTTTTTTAGATCAGTGGAGGATCTAGTACCAGTTGGGGGTGAATAGCCTCTTATCGTATAACCGTTTCTATAGTCTGCCTTAATTTGAAGATATGTGCAATACATAGTGGCTTTTTTAAAAAGTTATTTAATTTTCTTCCTTTCTTTAGTTTCCTCATGCTAGGCACTGTTCCAAAAAGAGCAGGTCTGATTCTAGGCTCTGCTTATATCATTCAGTGACTAACTGTTAGGTATTTGAGACCTGGGGTAACACTTCCCTCAGATTTATCTTTAACAAACGTATTTAGCAGCGTCCCACTACAGTTGGGAGATTCTGAGTGGGTGTTCTGTATCCTACCACACCATTGAACAATAGGTTATCATCTGATTTGAGTCCTGTAGAGTATTGGTCAGAACATATGCCTCGCAAACGCGAGGATCCGGTTTCGATTCCTAGGCAGGGAGAAGCCTTAGGGAAGTTTCCTTAACCCACAGCCTCTGTTTAACTAGCAATAAGTAGGAACCTGATTGTTAGTTGAATGGTGAATGCTTTCTGGGGGTAATAATCCATGTAAATAATAATAATAATTTGGTAACTCAATCCATGACTGTTTGTGGGACATTACTGCTACTAATTTTCACCCACAAAATATACAGTCAATTCACTTTACAGTATATTCTGTGAAGTGCTGTGAGATGTCTCAATGACATGATAAGGCGCTGTATCAAATGCAAGGATTATTATTATATCCCTCTTTATTATCAAAAAGTAGACGGTTCACTTCTAGCAGACTACCCAGTGCACAGATATTGTATCTCGAGAGGCTGTTGTTGAAATGTCACCCAGTACAGCTTGAGTTTTTGGTACCTCTGACCGCATGCAGAAGATTAAAAGCCATATGTTGTCAGAATTTTGTTATGTACATACATAAGGCTCTATACATGCACAGAACACTACACTAGAAATGCTAAACAGGTGGCAGTACAGTAATGACAGAAAGCTTGTGCACTTGTTTCAAGGATTATTGTGTAGACAAGCAAAAATGTGTTTTCAGGTTGCTGGGGATTGACAGTGAAATAATAATCCTTTAAAGGTTTAAGAAGGCTCAGCCTGCTCCATGTCCCCTGCGCCCACCCTCTGGAACTCCATCCTTGAGTCCCTTCACCTTGCCCTCTTCTTTTCCTCTTTGACTGTGCCTTTGACTGTGCCTTCACCCCCGTTGCCCTACACCACTCTTGACCCCAGCCCCCATCTCGGGTGCAAAGCATTGACTGTCTGTCGCCTTCGGACTTCCTCCTGACATGAAAGGCGCAATATAAATGCAAATATTTGTTGTTTAAAGCTGACTAGTTATCCAAGGTACAGTGTCGAGAAAGTACCAAGTACTCGAATAGCTGGGATATTGAGTGAGTGACTCGTTAATTGGGGTTGATTTCTAATCCCAGGGGATAGTTATCAGAGTTTCATGTAAATGTCTTCCTGTCAGTATGAATTAGGATCATAGAATGCACAAATATTTAGCCCATCAAGGTGTATTTCTCCACATGAACCACTTAGTCTAACCCAGTCTCCTGCTCCTCAATATCTTCTAATCTTCCTCGCTTTCAATCAACTCTAATTTCCTTTTAAAAAAACCAGTGACACTCTGAAAACTCAGTTTAGTCCGAGAGAAGTAGCTCAAATGACTTGTAATCAGAGTTGACTAGTTATCCAAAGTACCGTATCGAGAAAGTACCAAGTACTTGAATAACCAGGATATTGAGTGAGTGACTCATTAAGTGGGGTTACTGTCACTTATGGAGTTTCACTGTAATTTATGGACTCCGCTTCAACAAATGTTTGTGGCAGAGAACTCCACATTACAAGCACCCTCTGTATAAAGATCACCAAATAAGGTGGAAAGGCGGGGTAGGCCGAGGATGGTGACCCTCGACTCGGATCGAAGAGTTTTTAGGAGAGTAGTGAAGACAGGCGTAGTGACTTGGAAGGTAAAGGGAGAGAGCTTCAGAGAGAAGTTATACTTTCACAATTTGTTGGTCGTGGGTGGAGAGAAGAATTGTGGCAAAGCTTTCTGAAGCCCTAAATAAAAACATTCGTCACAAACCAAAATATTTGAAGTATTCAGGGAAGGCACAAATAATGGGTAAATCACGAACACGCAACTCCCATGGGGTAGAGGCAGAGAAACAGATTGAGTGCAGGCTGTGGAACTACAAAAGGGATACTGCCAGTTGGATGATTTTGGAGCTTGGAAATGTTCCCATTTCTTTCACTGTGTTTTAATCTTCGCCATTCCTTTACTAACGAGGAGCAGCACCACCGTGTTTTAAATGCGAGTCTGCAAATTATTAAATGCAACACATTATCAATCTGATTTCAAGCGTCTTAGTGCAGAGTGTGTATAATTGAACGCATTTTGCTATCTCTCTGCAGTCAAGTGTAAGGTTTCCCCTGACAGGAAACAGGAATTAATGCATGTTATTCTCATCCTGTGTGTACATTCTGCTGCGAGGGGGAAAAGGCTGCTTGTCGCTCCCAGGGAAAGTACTGTAGAATGCAAGTTTTCAGGTCATGTGTTGGAAAATTGGTAAAGTAACCACTTCAAGTTTGAACCTTCTACATTAAAGAGAATTTGCTGAACTAATTGTATTGTAGTCTTTGTGGTAGAAAATGGAAGAAATGGTTTAATGTGAAAAGTTTAATCTCTGCCTCTTTACCCGTCTTTTCAGAAACCTGATCCAAGGTCCTTGAGAAATAATGTTGATCGAGATGATGGCGGCCTCCTGGGTCCAGTAAGTCTTTGTTATACATTACCTGTGGAATAAGTAGACTTCCTTACATTTATCCGTAGTGTGAAAGATGCGACCTATTGTAACTTTAATCACTACTGGTTTACACTGGTGGCCATAATGACATGAGCTATGCTTAAAGTATCATAAAAGCTGTGTGATTTTGACTGACGCGTGACCTGGTTTTCACAACGGAAGAGTAGTTAGTCATGTAAACAAAACTGCTTTTCCATTAAACTTGGAACTTATTTTGCTTTTAACTCTTTGTGCAAAAATGCTAAAACATAACAGCAATGTTCCACTTTTAGAACCTTTAACAGTTTTCCACTTCTGCTGTTCAGGGTTTGATTCTAACAGTATGTAGCTCATGTTTTCATAAGGTTAGAAAGTATCTCTCAGGAGCTTCAGGTACTCCCGATAACCTCTGTAGCACATTAGCCTGCTGCACTTGCATAAGGATGTAATTCCTCTGAAGTTCTCGTTTTGCCTGGGCTGTGAAAAGGCAGCAGTTGGAGAAAAGGTGCTTCTCATTAACGGGAGGGGAACAAATAAATTTTGCATAATTCTCGGGTAGCCTGCATTGATATTTTCCTGCACAGAAGCTATGCATCACAAAAGACTCGAACATAGAGAACAGATCATTGAAACAAGTCTTTAATCATCAGGGATTGAAATAATAAGTTTGTATTGCTTTTCTGCTAGTTCGAAACAAAATTAAATTGTCAGAGAAATATCCTGTACATTATATTGTAATGAAATGTAACATTTAAATATGACTGATTGAACATATGAGTTGAATTATAAAGAGCTTTCATCTCCTTTATTGCTTTTGTTTTAGACTGGTAATCAACACATCTATCAACCTGTGGGTAAACCAGGTAAGATACTTTTGCTACAGAGCTGATAGTTGTATATATCTAGAAGAGACTTATGTGTTAGACTAGCTCAGATGGTAGCATTCTCTCCTTTGAGTCAGAAGGTTGTCGGTTCAAGCCTCACGTTGGAATTTTTAACTCATAATCTACAATAATAATCCTTGCATTTGATATAGCGCCTTATCACACCTTTGAGACGTCTCAAAGCGCTTTACAGAATATATTGTAAAGTGAATTGGTTGTATATTTTGTGGGCGAAATGGCAGTCAATTGCGCACAGCAGTGTCCCACAAACAGTCGTGGATTGAGTGTCAAATTTATTATCATTTATCTAGACTGTCACTCCAATGCAGTGCTGTATTGTTGTTGGTGCAGTCGTTCGGATGAGACATTAAACTGAGGTCCCATCTGCCTGTTCGAATGGACATTAAAGATCCCACGGCACCCTTTGAAAAAACATAATTCTTCCGGGTGTCCTGGTCAACAATCCCCCAAATAAAATTGTACGTTCATTTAATGCATGTTTATTAGGGCATTGCTATGTCTGTGCACAAATTAGTTGCCATGATTGCCTTTAAATACGATTATTCTGTAAAGTGTTATGAGATGTCCTCCCAATATAAAAGGCATTATATCAAATGTAAATGTTTTTATAAGAGGTTTCAAGAAAATGTTAGAGTAAAATGTCAGAATTATTAAGTCATAAAGAGCTGTTTTTAATCGACAGGATTTTATATTTCTGCAGCTGGAGATATATAAATAAGACTTGTAGATTCTCCCAAGTTTTAAGAATTTGCTGTCGCAAAACCTTTCATGAGAATGGGAACCAGTACATTTTGCCAGTCGATAAAGGGAATGGAATTCAGTCCCTTGTCATCCTCAGAAATAAACTGGAGTTTGTTCAGAAACTAACATCCGCCAGTGTGGGTGTCAATTCTGAAGTGATGTTAAAGCAGCCACAGACTAGTGCTGCCTTTGATTTTGTCGCTGCTCCTAACTTTCATCACACCCAAATTTCTTCACTCCTTTCCATTGGTAAAACTGCATTTCAGTATAAACTGGATTTTTGCCAACAGGTGGGAGAAGTTTCAACTAATCTAACTGGACTGTTTTGATGTCAGCTTGGCCCAGTTGGTAGCGTTGGGATCTTCAGGTCTAGATTCTTATGTCAGTACTTCAGCTCCTAGCCTAGAGTGACACTCCTGTACAATACTAAGGAAGTGCTACATTGTCTTTTGGATGAGATTCTAAACCAAAGTCCTATGTATCTGACATTCATGTGGACATTAAAGATCCTATGACACTAGTGGAGTCACAGAAGGAGCTTTTCTCAGTGTTCAAGCAAACAATCCTTCAGAAAGAAGAGAAATTAAAACCAACTCAAAGTCAGTTGTAGAAAATCATAGTTCACATTAATTGAAAAGCACTAATAATTTTAATAATAATAATCCTTGCACTTGATATAGCTCCTTATTACATCAGAAACGTCTCAAAATATACTGTAAAGTGAATTGACTGTATATTTTGTGAGTGATACGCGGCAGCCAATTGTGTACAGCTGTGTCCCACAAACAGTCGTGGATTGAGTGCAACTTTTTTTTGCAGAGAAATCGTTTCTATGTTTAATTCTAGGCTTCCATTACAATGACTTTTAAGCTCATTTAGATTTTTATTCTGTTCTTTCCACCAGAGCATGCCGCACCACCAAAGAAGCCACCTCGACCTGGTGCCCCCACCCATGGAGGAAGCATTGCCAGCCTCAACAGCCCAATTGACAGTTACAATGAGGGGGTGAAGGTAAGAACTCGTAGTAAAGTCATTAACTGCCCTGGTAGAAATAATAAATATGTATTCTTTATTTGAAGCAACCAAGAATTGTTTTTACAGGTTCATAAGGCAGTTAGCTTGGCTGCCACCTCTGGGTGGCTTCAAGTCCATGTCGGGATGTGAGCTCACACTCAGAAGCTGACTCTCCAGTTTTTTGGCCAGTTTTTTTTAAAAACATTTGTGGGGGATGAGACATTAAACTAAGGCCCAAACTGGCTGTTCTCACTGGTCATTAAAGATCCACTGATACTATTTGAAAAGAGAGGGGAGTTTCCCCTGGTGCCTTGGCTAATATTCCTCTAAATAAATTGGTCATTCCATGGCTGTTTGTGGGACCTTGTTTGAAAAATGATCGTTGCGCTTGTCTGCAAAACCAGCCCTATAATTAATGGTAAATATTTTGAAGCACTTTGAAATATTTCAACTTAATAAGACACTTAAAAAATGCAACCTTTTTACCCATAAGTTAAAGTTGTGTTGTGGAATCAAATGGGCAGAGAAGTCTCTGACCACAGCCATGGATTTGCTTTATGTAGTCCCTGGACCTCCCACCCACTCCCTCCCATTTTTCCTCTTTTTTTGTAGCCTATTGACTCTAAAGATGAACATGAATTTTACAGCTGAAGTAAAATTTCCTGATTGGTTACTGACTGAGTACAGATAGCACTTTGGCTGCGTCTTAACTCACCACCTGTATCTCAATACAGAGAGGTTTCTCTGAAATTGGAAGGATCCAAATATGAAAATTACCACCAATATTGCTAGTCAGTACTTGGTGACCAGACATTCTTTGCAGTATTTTGTCATTCGATAAATCTTGAAACTCTAGTTGGACCCACTCACCCTTGATTTAATTAAGAAATATGATTGAGGGGTTAGCTGGTTGGTGTAGTAGATAGAGCTGCATCTTACAAACCAGGAGCTTGCAGGTTTGAATCCTGGCCCAAACTGATTTTGCTGATCTCAGCTGGGGCTGAGGCTAAGTTGGCCTGGTCCTTCCCGGGGTTAGTGTAGGGTAAAATCAGCTGTGTTTCCCTGTCATGGTCCCCCTCTAACACACTCTACTGGTTGCATACCAGCCAGCTGAGGAGAGAAGGAGCATGGCTGTGACATCATAATAATCCTTGCATTTGATATAGCTCCTGATCACGTTGTTGAGACATCTCAAAGCGCTTCACAGGATATACCATAAAGCGACTGTATTTTGTGGGCAATCCTCTACAGTTGAGTGGCCTGTCGACACCCGCTGCCAAGGCTCACTTGTGAGCAGTGGCTTCTTAGATGGGGTCCCATTGGGAAATGTGGAATCACATTGGCATGTACCTCTCTTACTGGTGACCAGGAAGAGAGGTAGATGGCAATGGAGTGATAATTAGAAAAATAATTGATCTTAAAATATATTTAAAGAAATGCAAGAGGAGGAGTGTTTGAGAGATTTGGGAGCCGGACAATATCTTACCCCATTGCATGGAACAGGTACATAAATTGACTGGCAAGATACCTGTGTAAAGGAGAAAAGTTTTCTTATCCTCAAAAAAAAATTCAGGCAAAAACAATGTGAAGAAAATGTACAGGGAATATCTCCAGCATTTTGTCGGGAAAGAAATTAGGCACTATCTCAATATCAATTGCTCAAGCTTTCGGTTTACATTTCAAAAGATTATATTCATCTTCCAGTGAATATATCTTAGTGTAATATTTAGCAATTTAGTTTTATAATTTGCTTATGTCATACTTAATACTTTTTTTACTAAATTAAAGCAGAAATTTATTTGACTCTTTGCTCAAGTTTTTACAACCGAAGCATCTGAACATTGATGTCTTTCAATCAGCCCACATTATCCTGTTGAAATCCTGATTGGAGATCATCTGGAATAGGACATATTGACATACTGAGTGACTACACCAAGTTCTACTCTACTGCTGAACTCAATGGGAGCACGGCCTCTGACAACTTTTCACAGTCGGGTCAATTTGGCATTCCATTTCATATTGTGTGCATCAAATGGCCCTGGATGTGTATCACTCATGTGTGTTCTTCCCCTTGTTGTCAATGCCATTCTCGAAACTCGAGCCAGTATCCTGCTAGCTGGTGTCATGCTGCAATTCGCAAACTAGCAGCACGTTTTGCCACTGACAAAGGATGGTGTCAGGATGGGTCCATACTACAGAAGGTTCACAAACCAATTGGGTCTGTTCAACATGCTAAATATCAAAAGGCCTCTTTTGATATTTTTCCAAACAGGAAAAGCTCAAAGGATCCTTATACCATAACACCAATCATGTGACTAATTAAGGGCGTTCATCAGAAATTATAAAATACTTTTCAGAAAAGCAAATTGACATTCTCCACCAAAGTAGGAGTAGAGGAGAGCAGAAACGCTAAGGAATTAAAACCATCCAAGTAAGGCTAAGTCTCAGTACACACTTTGCACTGTTTGTGTAAGTCAACAAGATCTTGGGTAGCTGACACTTTTGGGAGGCAGCAGAGTGAATTAACATAATGCTACAAATGTAGGGTTAACCTTACAATAAACGCAATGCAGTAGAACCTTGTTAAAATATACCTTATTATAATTTAGAAAATCGTTTAAAGAATGAATTCCTAAACTAAGGGAGTTGTGAAATGGAGCTAAGTGAGCAAAGGGGTGATAGGTTTGTGATAGCTACAAATATGTTTAATCTTGGAACAGTGGAATACAGGAAAGCATTTTTGAATCAAGAAGCATATAAATCACTTGCTCTCATGTCTTGTGGGCTATGTCTTTAGTTCTACTGATAGAAGTGGTTTCTTATATCATGTCTCTACTTGGTCTTAGTTAAATTGGAAATTATTTGCTATGCTGTGGATTTCTCTGAACTTGCAGATGTGAAATTATAGCACACTTCAATTTACAAATTTACTCCAACAGCATTTTATTTTCTCTTTTTTTAATATAGCCAATTGCTGTTTTTTTTTTACCATTTCCAATGTGAGGTCAAACACGTGGCCACTTCTGCTTTGGAGTTTCTCTTCTGTGCAATAGAACTACTGCTATTAACCATACGACAGCCTTTTTTTTATTTGCTGTATTTTCCAATGATTTTTATTTGCTGTATTTGAATGATTTGTTTATTTGCTGTATTTGGATGACTTTTTATTTGCATGGTTTAAAGAAAATAGCTTATGAAAATGAAATGGTGCACAGCTTTTTGAACTGCGCTCCAGCATGTTTGACGCATAACATTTTTAGAATGCATTTTCTTCACAGCTTTTAACATAGTTTTGTTAACTGCACATTGCATTATTGGTTTGCTTGCTGCATTTTTAATAATATTTTGTTTCCTTTTTTTTCCCCCTTCCCTTTTGGTAAATTTCTTTAACCTTCCTTCACATTGTGTTCATCACTAGCCATGGAGGGTAAGCAAATGACGTGTATTTTTTTTCTTTCTCTGTTTGATATATCTAACTTGTAGCTGTTTGTTCTTTCCACTCCTTCGAGGTGACATGAAAAGATATTTCTATTTGCAATATGTTTTGACATTGAAATAGATCAAAGACATGTGGTGCACCAGATTTCAGCACTAGAATTGGGGTTATTGAACTTTGATTTGAGGTGCAAATACTTTCATGGACGGTTAACTAAGGTTGACAATAGACAATTGGGAATCTAACATTCTAACACGCAGTTTCAATTTAGAAATTTGTAATGTATGAATTTGGAATCACCCAGGTAAGCCAGAGGTAGACTGACCCTCATTTTCTCTTCTCTTCCCCCTCCCCCATTCGGGGAATACTATTTCTTCATGACAATAAACTTGGCTTGTGCATTTGACTTGCAGCATTCGATTGTCAGTCAGCAGGATCACAGATTTTATCACTGCAGAGAACTCAGTTTGAAATCATTATCCCTCTAATAGGCAGCCGAAGATCACAGTAGGGAGCAAGTTTTACTTTAGGGCTGAGGATGAGGTTAATTGTTCAGGTAGTGTCAGTAGGTGTTTTGCTCTGAATTTAACTAATATGCTTCACTTTGATGAGCATAAAAATCAGGGCAAAGTGTACATTTTAAAAGGACAAATTATTTTTTGTTTTCATGAAAAATGGTGAGTTTGGGAAAATCAAGTCACTTTCATAATTTTCGTAACGATCCTTGATTCACTTTCCAACTTAAAGGGAAAGCATGAGACTAGTCACTGGGGGCAGGGTACCCTCCCACTCCACTCCTGTTAACGTTGCAAGCCAGAACCCTAAGGGGTAGGGTTGTCCTAGCTGGCCAAGCAGTGAGAAAGCTTGCCAGACAGTGCTATCAATGGCAAGCTATGAAGATTTAGCTGGTTAATCTCCAGCCATACCCCAACTCACACTCTGGGATCCCCAAGGTTTGGCTCTTGCTAACCTGTGCCTAATACTATCTGGAATTAGGTAAGCATGATGCATCCCGCCAGGAGGAGAGTGTGCATTTCCATTCCAACAATATATCTCTGGGATTTCCATGTGTAGGTGGGATGCATGGAATTCTCAGTTTGGTTTGGATACAAGTATGGATGGGTTTCCACATGTCAGTCACCCGGCTGACCAAAAAAAACCAGCATCCTGCCCTACTGCAGCATGTCTGAGCTATAATAAAATAACTTACTTCAATTACAATATATTACATAGATCTGTCACACAAGCCGTTTCCTTTACAAAAGGCAAAGAAAAAATACTTGCAGTGAAAATACAATAAAATAATAGATCCTCCTTTATATTGAAATTGGTGCTTTCTTTTCTCGTCACCTATGGATGTTATTTTTGTAAAACTAACTCCTTTGTGTGTACTGTAACAGCACATGTGCAGATTTAACTGCCTGAGTGTGATTCTAATCACCCTTGTCCCAATGTGTTGAAATCCATTAGACATAGACCACTTCACTAAATTAGCTTATGGCTATGTTTTGATGTACAGGTGGTAGAACTACTATTAGTTTCTATATATAGCCTATTAAGTGTACACATGTAGCTTAGTGAATGCACGCTCAAGGATTGCAGCTGCTTTGCTGGCTTTGTTATTCCAGACAAACGTTAGGCACTTGGCTCCGAGCATTTGGTAAGCTAAGGTCGGTTTAATCCATCGTACCAGCCTTTTTTTAAAAAAAAAGCCTCAAGTAGTTCAGTTTGGGAAATTATCTCGAGTGAAGGTCATTAATCATTTGGCAGCTAAAGACCATTCGCTGCACATAAAGTGTGCAGCAAATGCAGCATTTGAATTTTTTTTGAAAAGCAGTCATCTGAAACCCAAGATTCGATCACTGCCTTGCAGTGACATTGGTTTCAGTTATTTACAATATATGCTGTATTCATGCCACAGCAATTATTGCTGCTGATTTTGTTTTTTGCTTGGGGTTCCCCATGTATGTTGAGGTACTGCCAGAATTTGACCAGCTAAAACCATGCAGCTTACCAATGTAAACGCTGTCTGTCTGGCAAGCTTTCTGCTACTTCTCCATTTAGGACCACCCAACTGTTGGGGCTTGGCTTGCACTGTCCTTGATGTGTAAAGATGACTGTTGTGGCGTATCATAGTATGCTTGTTAAACTATGCAGTTGATAAGTAGGAAAATCTTTTTTCAGCACATGCTGAGCAGCTAGTTACATATTGGTTATTGGGGAGAAGTAGGAGAGGTTAAAAACAGAACCATGTTATCTCTCTTGTACTTGAAGAAATATGCTGCAGTGGGATACTGACTGACTTGTTTATTGTAATTCAGATCCAACCACAGGAAATAAGTCCTCCCCCCACAGCTAACCTGGACCGGTCCAATGACAAGGTCTATGAAAATGTAACGGGATTGGTAAAGGCGGTGATAGAGATGTCCAGTAAAATCCAGCCAGCTACACCAGAGGAATATGTACCAATGGTGAAGGTAAGGAATGTGTGCAATTTGTTTGTTGCTAGGATTTGGGCCCTTGACAGATTTGGTGAGGAATCGTGCTCTGAAAAAGTAACCCAAGTTCTGAGACAAAACAATGATCAAGAAAAATCAATTTCTTCCATCCAATTGTTTTACCCTCAATAAAAGTTGAGGTGGCCAGGTGGTGATTAGTGCTATTGTCAGTGTGGACTAGCCCTGAAAATAAATCCCTGGCACTCCAGATGCAGAGATCAGGATCAGATGTGTACATTACAATATAAAATTACATTTGTATAGCACCTTTCACGTCAGGAGGACGTCCCAAGGTGCTGGACAGTCATGGACCCGAGCTGGGGGTCTGGATCTGGAAGGGTGCGAAGGCATGGTCGAAGAAGAGAGTTTTTGAGATGCGCCTTGAAGGAGGCAAGGGAGGATGCAAGGCCAAGAGAATGTGGGATGAAGTTCCAAAGGGTGGGGGCAGAAAGGCTGAAGGTCCGATCGCTGATGGTGTGCCCAATTGGCTGCCGCGTTTTGTCCCACAAAACACACAATCAGTTCACTTTACAGTTTATTCTGTGAAGCGCTTTGAGACGTCTCAAAGACATGATAAGATGCTGTTTTAAATGCAAGTATTATCAGTTTCATTCTGCGGCAACAGTTCTGCTTTGATTGATAGTTGTCCATATGTTTTCAGGAGGTTGGATTGGCATTAAGAACTTTACTGGCCACAGTGGATGAAACTATTCCTTCCCTCCCAGCTAGCACACATAGAGAGGTAAGTGAATATATTCTAAACCTCTGACTAATAATCATCCATTGTTGCTATAGTTACTGTCTGGGGAGGCAGCTTTTGGTTTAGTTTGCATATAAAGAAAAAGCAGTTTGTAAGATTATTGCTTCTCACAGGCAAACATTTCAATGCAAAATGAAGCAAAAACATTGCTGAACTGTAGATAATGAATGAGCTTGATCACTGGAGAACTGGAAGCTCATATCTGATCTGGCAGCAGAAAGCTTAGAGAGTCTCAATCAGGCATTTGGGAATGATGGTTCTGGCAATTTGACTGCATGGCGTGTCTCTGCAGTCAGCTGACAGAATGTTCACCTGGTTGATTTTATGACTGACTACAAAACGGGAACACACAGAAGTGCAGAAGAGACCGTGCTCCCTCTCGCCAGTGTTGAAGAAAAAAACTGCACTCCCTCTCTGACCCTCAATCTTTCTCTCCAGATGTCTGGAAGCTTCCCCTTCAAAATTGCTGACCAACTTAAGTTTGATAATAATCTTGTATTTAATAAGTAAGCCCCAGTGTAACAAATAAAACTACAGCTTTACATGTGCTTGTTTGGGAAGATTTAGCCTGGCTCAGTTGAATCAGATCTTGAATCGGAAGGTTGTGGGTTCAAGCCCCACGTCAGGACTTTGAGCTCATAGTCTACTAAGACGACACCTCAATGCAGTGCTGGGGACTGCTGCAGTATCAGAGATGCTCTCCTTCAATATTTGAAAAGATAAGAGTGTTTCTCTCAGTCCTGGCCAACAATCCCCTAGATAAATTGGTCGTTCACGTCATGGTGGTTTGTGGGTCATTTTTGTGAGTGAATTGGCTGTGTGTTCACCTACAGAAACAGTCACTATACCTTACTATGTGTCACTATGTGGAGTCCTGTAGCTCAGTAGTTAGAGCACTCACTTTGCAAGCGAGAGTCCTGAGTTCAATTCCAGGCAGGGCGAAACCTTGGGCAAGTTTCCTTACTCCACACGCCTAATAATAATCCCTCCAAAACCAAAACAATAATAAAAAAAAATTGGTCATTTTCTATCTACGACTGTTTGTGGGACATTGCTGTGCGCAATTGGCTGCCGCGTTCGCCCACAAATATACAGTCAATTCACTTTACAGTGTGTTCTGTGAAGCGCTTTGGGACGTCCTCCCGACGTGAAAAGCGCTATATCAAATTCAAGGATTATTATTATTATTATTATTATTATTAATATTTGTATGTAACCATGATGTATTTTGCCTTCATAGATTGAAATGGCTCAGAAGTTATTGAACTCTGATTTGGCAGAATTAATTGGCAAGATGAAGCTGGCCCAACAGTACGTAATGACTACCCTCCAGCACGAATACAAGAAGCAGATGCTGACAGCTGCCCATGCACTGGCTGTGGACGCTAAAAATTTGCTGGATGTTATTGACCAAGCTAGACTGAAAATGATCGGAGGGCAGCCTAGACCTCTCTAGCTACGTGAAGCCTGCTCTGTGGGTTCTTGGGATGATTGTGTGATCAAATCTACCACCAGCATGTGGAATCGAAAAGAGCCAAAAAAAACTTTATCTACATAATATATATATAAAGCAGAGAGTGCTGTTACATCGTGGATTCTGGGACACCTGAGGGCTGAGAATTCTTGCTGCACAGTACAGAAACTGCGGACTGAAATGTTCCACTGAAATGAAATACACTACAGCGAACGATGTTTAGCTGTAATACATCAATCAAATGTTGAACAAAGATGTTATATTTTCAGACTGAAGGCATTTAAGATAACATTTTAAGAAACAAAAAAATCCTTCCTTGTTGCTCCAATTCTCTAGAGAACGGAGCTTCTGCTGAGTCTCAGCAAACTCTCTGAAGCGAAGCATTCGTTAAAAGAAATAGCTGTAGGATAGAGCTGAGACTGTATATCTTTCTTTGAACAAAAACACGTGCCAGTTATGGAGAAGAAACCTGGTAAAGATTGCGCTGCATTTGCAGGCGGAGTGCTGTGTATTAATATTTCTCCTACCATTGTTTAATTTCTTTTTTTAATTTAAAACTAAAGCCATGTTGACAATTAAAACCAATGTAGTTACTAACCATCTTGTTTGTGGCTTGTCTGGGAGTTTGTTGGAAACAGTAGTACACTGGCGTGGTACATTTTTTTTTATTTCCCATCTGTATTGCCTGTTCTCTGGAACTCCCTCCTTCATTTTGAGGTATAAATTATTCTCAGGAAGAATATAATGAACTGTACAGTTACTTGACCTATTAAAAATGTGTTAACAAATTCTGTAATTCGAGCTTTTTTTAAATCGCTCTACCTGCGTCTATATTGATTTTATTTCTAGAACAAATTATCTCCATTCCTGGGTTTGGAAATACCTGCAAACGTTTACTTTTTTTTATTTTAAATCCCCTTTCTTTTCATTTCTGCCTCTAGGAGACCTCATTGAGGGGAGCGATTGAGAACACTTCACAGCTTTTCCGCAGCTCTGTGGCTTCATGGATTTACTTACGAATGTGAATGAAATGTGAATTTCACCTGAATTGCTGAACCTTGTATACTACCAATGTCTCGTCTTCTCCCCTTTACCTTTTCACCCCATTTGAAACAATGTTTGTGGAGATATTTGTGGGGTTGTAGGAGGCTGAGATTGTAGGGTGAGTCAAGGCTGTAAAGGGATAATAATAATAATAATACTTGCATTTGATATAGCGCTTTTCACGTCTTCTAGACGTCCCAAAGCACTTCACAGAATATACTGTAAAGTGAATTGACTGTATATTTGTGGGCGAACGCGGCAGCCAATTGCGCACAGTAGTGTCCCACAAACAGTAGTAGATTGAAAATGACCAATTTATTATTGTTTTGTTTTTTTGGAGGGATTATTATTAGGTGTGGAGTAAGGATTTGAAGGTCAGAATGAGAATTTTGATCCACTGGGGAATGGGGAGCCAGTTGAGCTGAGTGAGGATGGGAGTGAGGTCTCTGAATCCAAGAAGGAACCACTAAAGTGCAGTGACTGTTTCTTGGGCTTTACCACCGTTACTATGAAATCACCCTGTTTCTCCTTTCTGCTATAGTTGGGTTCTAAAATATTATATACACAAACCAAATATATTATGTTAAATGTGACATTGGGTTGCAAAATTTGTGGCCCGTCAATCCCAACTCGCACCGCAACAATTTGTGGGACACTGCTGTGTGCAATTGGCTGTCGCGTTTCACCGACAAAATATACAGTTAATTCACTTACAGTATACTCTGAAGCGCTTTGAGACGTATAGAAGTGATAAGGCGCTATATCAGATGCAAGGATTATTATATGACAATTGCAAACCAGTAGTCAAAACTCGGGCAACAAATCTAGATTGCAATATCACATTTTCAACCCCAATGTACAGACTTTTAAGACCCAAAGGTAATGTCACCCTTTATTCTGTCTAGCCTTCATTTTAATTTGTTTTCAAAACTTTGCGCCCATGCCTGAGTCATTTTTGTTATTGTCTCCAGGTTACAATAAGCAAAAATGTTTACAATAGTAAAATTGCACTGTTGTATAAGGGGTTTAAAGACTACCTGACTATTAAACAGTTAAATATTATTTATGCATCTAAAACAGTGGAAAGGCAGAAAAGGCCATGCATGTACACCAGTTAATGGGTTCTCATGGCATCAGCCTATATTAGATTCTTCATTCCCCTGTGGCCTTGACAACTGTGGGAGGAAGGAATTACAGTTCTTTCTCAGTTGACACAACAACTGGAGCATGTGAAATTATTCCCTCACTGTGCCAAAGATCTATTTATGCAAATCAGGTGCAAAAGAGAATGCACTTGGGAAAACCCATTCATTTTGGAATAGCAATGAATTTTTGAAGTTAGAATGAGGCATTATTCTTCGAAGGCAGGAAAATGCTTTATTACACTTGATTTATAGATTTTGCAACAGTAGAGGTAGAGAAATACTGAATGTTGTCTGTAGAGAAGGAGGGGGAAAACTGGATTTGAATAATGGCGATTTAATGAATACTGTATTAGCTTGGCTCAGTTTCATGAGTTAAAGTTGAGAGTTTAAAACCACATAGGGACTTTGAATTCATATACCTGTAGTTTAGACTGACCCTTCAGTGAAGTGTTGATGTGTCCTGCATTGCACTGCATTGTACTTTAGAAGAGATGTTAAACCAAAATTTTATCTGTCTGCTCAGATGGATATTAAAGATCCCTCGTCACTATTCAATGAGAAGGGAGTTTCACCTGGTATCCTGGCCAATAATCCCCCAGATAAAATTTGCCATTCACTTCATGGCTGTTTGTCGGGACATTGCTGCTTGCAAATTGGCTTCACTTCTAAATACAGTCACCATACTTCACAGTAAATCCCGTGAAATGCTTTGAGCATCCAATGTCTGCTGAATAATTGCTGAATAGTATCTGAAAAGATGTTAAACTAATTCTGAATAATTGGCTGTCAGTCTTTAATTGGCAAAACAGTGTCCAAATTGCATTAACGACAAATTACATTTATATAGCGCCTTTCACATCAGATATCAGCTTTCTACTTTTTTTCCCTTGCTAATTGTTGCATCATTTATCTCCCCTTCACTTCTACTTAAGTATTTGACTCCTTGTTCTTTCTTCTTTCGTGGAGTCTTGTAGCTCAGTGGATATAGCACTTGCCTTTCAAGTGAGAGACCTGGGTTCGATTCCCGGCAGAGCAAAACCTTGGGCAAGTTTCCTTACTCCACACGCCTGATAATAATCCCTCAAGAAAAAAAATAATAATTTGGTCACTTCAATCCACGACTGTTTGTGGGACACTGTTATGTGCAATTGGCTGCCAGCCATGTTCGCCCACAAATATACAGTCAATTCACTTTCCAGTATATTCTGTGAGGCACTTTGAGACGTCTAGAAGACGTGAAAAGCGCTATATCAAATGGAAGGATTATTATTAGATTACCAATGGGCTACAGCTGCCCTAATCTAAGGGGTATTATTGATCATTGAGCGTTTAGTGAATGCCACCACTCCCTTTGGCCCCCTGTCTACATGCACTTCCAGCAGTGTGTGCTGGATAGTGATTGGTGGCTGATGTTCTCCTTCATAACCTGGTTGTGAAGTCTGCATTCGCTGCTTTGACTGCGATTATACAAATTGTTTAACACATCAAGGATCAACGATCTGAATAGCTCAGTGACTCACTGGACACATTTAGTTGAGAAGCCTTCTAAAGAAATGAAATTTTTTTAGACTTAATTTCTTGTTTAAGCGTTCTGAGACACTGCCCCCTGTGAAGGCGCTATATAAATTGGCTAATTGACTGCCGCGTTCGCCCACAAATATACAGTCAATTCACATTACAGTGTGTTCTGTGAAGCGCTTTGGGATGTCCTCCCGACGTGAAAAGTGCTATATCAAATGCAAGGATTATTATTATTATTATAAATGCAAGTTGTTGTTTAAAGGTTACAAAAACAAATTGATAACAAGACCAGTTTAGGATTAGGATCTAATAGGAATGTGTATGTCACAAAAAATCTAAACACAAGATAGCAAGGTGATGTAATGTAAATAGGAAAGAAATCTGGTATTCCACATTTTACACTCTCAAGCACTCTGAGACATACCCTGTGTGTAGAGCGCTATATAAGTGCAAGTTGTTGTTGTTGTATACTATGATTCATTAAATTGCAAAAAATCTTATTACCTACAAAATATGGTCACAGCACTCTGCAGTGATTAATACTGTAACTTGCTTTTAGCACCATCCAGTGGTACTTGTTCGATTAGCAGTGAAAACTTCTCAGCTTCCACTGAAATTAATTTGTAGAATTCTTGCAATCGGTATTGCACCTTTCATGTCAGGAGGACGCCTCCAAGTGTTTCACATGATATATTGTACGTGTAGCGACTAATTTGTAGGTGAATGCATCAGTTAATTTGCCTACTGCAATGTGCCTCAAACTCACTGATGAGAAATTAATTAACGATTTTATTTGGGAGAATTGTTAGCAAGGACAGCAAGAGAAATTCCATTCTCTTTTCAGGTAGTGCCATTAAATCTTTAACATCCACCTGAACAGGCACAGGATCTCGGATTAACATCTCATTCAAAGGATAGGCACTTGTTAGGCCTCAGCTGGAGTATTTTGTCCAATTCTGGGCACAATTTATTTTTATCCCTCCTACACATGGAAATCCCAGAGATAGATTGTTGGGATGGAATGCACACACTCTCCCTGGAGGGATGCTTTCTGCTTACCTAATACCAGAAAATATTAAGTGCAGGCTGGCTAGAGCTTGGGGACCCCAGAGTGTCTGTTGGGGTAACTGCTGGAGTCTAACCAGCTAAAACCACATAGCTTGCCATTGATATTGCTGATACTGCCATTGATAAGCAAGCTTTCCCACTGCTTGTCCAGCTAGGAACACCCTACCCATTAGGGCGTTGGCTTGCAGGCTTAACAACAACAAATGGAGCTGAGTGGGATGACTCCCTGCCCTCAGTGACTGGTCTGCCCTTCAAGGTCCTGCTGATGAGCCAGGCTGGCTGTGCTGTCCTCAGCAATGCCCTAGAATACTGGGGACCTACCTGGCTCTGGAACCGGACTACCGAGATCACCAGAGGGCTGGCTTGATTCTGACATTCCATTGCATGTCAACTTGGAGCCAGTTCAGCTCCAAGGAGACTTCACTTACACCCCTCCCATTCCCCAAATAGGATAGTCATGAGTTAGTCGTTCAACATCCGACGAGCGCAGGTTTGAGCCCTAATTAGATAGATAATAGGTACAAGGAACTCACTGCGAGCTTCCTGGTGGGCAATGCATCACAGCATGAAATGCGTGATAGCATTGCCGCTGTCTTCCTCTCCGCAGCTTGAGCACACATCCCTTCCCATTCACCGATGATTCCACCAATTGTAGGTACACAGTTTAAGCTGCAGCTGCTGGCCTCTCTGCAGGCCAAACGCCTTCCAGCAGCTGTCGCTGCAAACTATCTGGGGGGCATCTGCCTTCAGGGTGATGGATAGACATTTACAGTATAGCCTGTGACATGCTAGCCACTTTGATGTTCTTGAACTCCAAGTCCAATGCCGCTTATCAGGCTTACTCAGCACCAGCTGCTCAATTCAGGTCCTCATGTGAGGGGCCTTGGCAAATAGACGTGTCCACTGGGAAGCCAATTTCGTCTTGGAGTGCTTAGCAACAGATCAGTGTAGGTGCCAGGGATGAGGGACTTTAGTTATGTGGAGCGACTAGAGAAACTGAGATTGCTCTCCTTAAAACATTAAGGGGAAATGTAATAGGTGCTCAACTTTTGAGGTGTTTTGATACAGGGAGAAACTGTTTCCACTGGCAGGTGGGTCAGTAACCAGGGAACATAGATTTAAGATAACGTGGAGTCCTGTAGCTCAGTGGTTAGAGCACTCACTTTGCAAGTGAGAGACCCGAGTTCAATTCCAGGCAGAGGGCGAAACCTTGGGCAAGTTTCATTACTCCACACGCCTGATAATAATCCCTCCAAAAAACAAAACAATAATAAATTGGTCATTTTCAATCTACGACTGTTAGTGGGACATTGCTGTGCACAATTGGCTGCTGTGTTCGCCAACAAATATAGTCAATTCACTTTACAGTATATTGGGATGTCTAGAAGACGTGAAAAGCACTATATCAAATGCAAGGATTATTATGAAGTCTTTACCTTGGGAATGAAGTATGATTCTGGCTGAATGAGGGAAAGATGTTCTGTGATATTGGTGCAGTACAACATTCTCAGATTCAAGAGGATTTTCACACAGCCTACCAACAAATTACATTTGTACAGCACCTTTCACTCCAGGATATCCCAAGGTGCAGAGGAACTGTGGGATGGAGTTTCAGAGGGTGGGTAGGGCTTTGAAGCTGAGAATCTTGACATGGATCCTGAATGATGGGGGGGGGCAGTAGAGTCAGGCCGGGATGGGGAAGAGTACTTGGGCTAGAGTTCAGCCTGTGAAAGCAGGGAGTTTGCATAGTCAGGCCTGAAATGTGATGAATGCGTGGATGAGGGTATTGCTGGCTAGAGTGGCAAGGTAAGCGTCAAGGCATGGATGTGGGGTGCATAGGACGGTGAGGTTCCCTTTGGTTCCATGTGGTGTAACCATGAAAGGTGATGCTATCAGCACTGACGGGAACCAAGGGCTCGAGTCTTGTTGACATTCAACCGGTGAAAGTTTGATGTCGGACAGCAGTAGTCTGGGAGTCGAGGTGGAGAGGTAGAGTTGGTTGGTCATTCACATACATGTGGAAATTGTCTAATTCAGATTTCTGAAAACACAACTGTAGAATGGCTCAAGACCAGTTCTTATATGACTAATTCCATTGTCAACAGTATGACACCAACCGCTTGATACAAAGCAGGCATTGGGACAAAAAAACAAAGTAATGTTAAATATGTACAATATTGATTAGGCCACACACTGTATCTGTTTTGAGCACCTTATCGTAGAAATGTAAGAGTAAGAGCCAACTCAAATAGATTCCTGTTTTTATTGTACCCATAGAAAATGTTTCATGGCACACTTAGTCATCAAAGAGACCAAAACCCATGTCGTTGTCTGACTCTTCAGATTCCTCTTCCTTCTTCTCTTCCTTTTTCTCCTCAGCTGCAGAATAGAAAGAAATACAAGCTTAGCTCTCCAACCTCATTAACAAAGTGCAAAACATCCACCAGAGTGTCAAGTGGGTCTGGCTGTACAGAAAGCCAGATGCTCTCGTGGAGCTGGTAGGTTAGGTGTTGTGCATTACAAGAGTACACCCAGCAGGTTAAGTTGTGCGCCCATGATATTCACCCTATTGGTGCAACAAAACTTTCATACTTTAATCCAACTAAATATTATGGTCTATTACCTCCGCACCTTATGATGTAATCTAGGCTGTGCTACACTGAAAGACACGTGGATTCCCCTGTGCAAATTCACCTCCTAACCTCCGAGCAACCTGCCCGCTTCAACCGCTCAGCGGGCTCCGGCCTGCTTCACACCCCCCACCTTGCTACCTCACTATCGGCGGTCAGGCCTTCAGACACTCTGCCCCTACCTCTGGAACTCCATCCCACAGTCCCTCCACCTCACCCCCTCCCAAGACCCTGCTTTTCAACCGTGCCTGTGGTCACCTTCCTTCCCCCCGTCGATTCTCCAGCACCTTGGGACATCCTCCCGACGTGAAAGGTGCTATACAAATTTAATTTTGTTTTTGTAGTACTTACCAGCAGCCGGGGCAGCAGCAGCCTGACCAGCAGCACTAGGAGCAGCACCACCACCAGCACCAACGTTACAGATCAAACTGCTGATGTTGACATTTGCAAGTGCCTGGAAAGAGTCATACAAATGTCAAATGGTATAATTGACTAAATTAGTAACTACAGCTTTGGCAATTTTACTTGAGATGACATGCATTTCACTTGATAAGTTAAGCTTTCAGTATTCATTACTGGAGTTGCAGTTTACATTAGTTAAATGTAATTTTTATTGTGCTGTCTTACCTTAGCAAATAGATTTGGCCAGAAAGGCTCAATAGTTATTCCAGCTGCTTTGATGAGGGCATTGATCTTGTCTTCCTAAACCAAGAGGCATATTAACACAATCAGTTACAGAATTAAGTGCATTAGATTGCATCAACAGGTGTCATATGTAAAAAAAACGTACATTTTGTTGTGCCTTTTACATTGGGAGGATGTCGGAGGATGTCTCAAAGCTGAAGGATATACTGTAATGTGATTGCACATATTACACATGTAGGAAAGTGTGACAGACAACAACTTGGATTTTTTATTCTTATATTTTTATAGCGCCCTCCAGCCGGACGGCGTCTCAGAGACAATTTACGCCCACAAATATAGTCAATTCACTTTACAGTATATTCTGTGAAGCGCTTTGAGACATCTCAAAGACGTGAAAAATGCTACATCAAATGCAAGGATTATTATTATGATGTCCCACAAACAGTCATGAAAGTGAATGACCAATTTAACGAGTGGGATTTGTTGGCCAAGAAACTTCCTTTATGTTCCGTTAATGACATAATAAATCGAGGTAAATATCTAATGCTCAACATTTACCACCAACAGCACACCCCAATCCAGCATAAGAGATGCATATGAACAGTGGTGCGGCTTATTTAAGAAGCCGCCAACAGCAGCAGCAGCACAACAGTGAAGGGAAAGGGGTCACTGAAAAATCAGAAGCAAATAAATGTACGTGTTGCTTCACACAGGCAGTGAAGCTGCTCAGCTCCAGGAGCACAGCTGTCTGCAGAGGGAGAGGAGAGCCTCTGGTCCTCACCAATACTACACACGGACCCATGTGCACAACCCCGAGAGGCGACAACAACAGGGATGGAAGAGCCAGAGGCCCTGGCGGGCCATTCCCGGCTCGAGAGCCGTCAGCTCGGCTCCTCCACACGTGGCTGCGGCCTCACTGTCCCGCGAGCAGGAATGTCAGATGTCACCGGGATCCGGGCCTATCACCCCGGCTGTGAGTGCCAGGCGTCCCCGGGGTCTGGGCCTATCTCCTCGGCTGTGAGTGCCAGGCGTCCCCGGGGTCTGGGCCTATCTCCTCGGCTGTGAGTGCCAGGCGCCCCCGGGGTCTGGGCCTATCACCCCGGCTGTGAGTGCCAGGCGTCCCCGGGGTCTGGGCCTATCACCTCGGCTGTGAGTGCCAGGCGTCCCCGGGGTCTGGGCCTATCACTCCGGCTGTGAGTGCCAGGCGTCCCCGGGGTCTGGGCCTATCTCCTCGGCTGTGAGTGCCAGGCGTCCCCGGGGTCTGGGCCTATCTCCTCGGCTGTGAGTGCCAGGCGTCCCCGGGGTCTGGGCCTATCTCCTCGGCTGTGAGTGCCAGGCGCCCCCGGGGTCTGGGCCTATTCCCCCCCCCCGGGGGCCCATCTCCGCGGCGTGGGGCTGCCCTAACATGGCCGTACTCACGGTGACGGTGACCTCGTCGTCGTGCAGGATGAGGGCGCTGTAGATACAGGCGAGCTCGGAAGCGGCCGTCATGGTTTACGGTCAGTTTCCTGGGGTCGGGAGCGGAGCTTCGGTGCTAGTCGCCGGCTGTCACGCGGGCCTTAGCTTCAGTCGGAAGAACCGAGCACCTCAGAACCGAGAGAGAAGAGGGGGGGCGGCGCGGCCGGAAGGGACTCTTATACACAGCTGCATATCACGTCACTTCCCTTTGCCGAGACACGCGTTTCCGGTCACCTCGAGCCGACAACCACGTGCTCTTTCCCTCATTCCCTCCCCCTCCATTGTCAGAACAGAGCCGCTGTCTCTGTGATAATAATAATAATAATAATAATCGTTGCCTTCGCTATAGCGCTTTTCACGTCTTCTCGAACGTCTCAAAGCGCTTCACAGAATCGACTGTAAAGTGAATCGACCGTATATTTGCGGGTGAAACGCGGCAGCCAACGGCGCGCAGCGGTGCCCCACAAACGGTCGTGGATTGAAATGAACCAATTTATTATTTTTTTCTTGAGGGATTGTTATCAGGAGTGTGGAGTAAGGAAACTTGCCCAAGGTTTCGCCCCCTGCCGGGAATCGAACCCAGGTCTCTCTCGCTTGAGCGGCGAGTGCTCCGACCGCTGAGCTACAGGACTCCACTAACTTATTACTCTCCTGTGCGTGTGTGTGTGTGTGGAGAGAGAGAAAGAGAGTGAGTGAGAGAGAGAGAGAGAGAGCAGCGTCTCCTTGAGGCTCCGAGGTGACATGTCTGGTAATGGAATGTCAGGATGGAGCCAACCCTCTGGGGGTCCTGGTCGACCGGCTCCTGAACCAGGCTTAAAGATACAAAAGTGGACGAATTGAGCTCACAAGGGACACAGCAGTCATGTTAAGGAGTTTGTGTGTTAGAGCAGTGTGGGGGTCTTTCCTGCGGCGGTCTCTAGTCTAGTTCCTGAGACAGGCGGGTCCGCAGTACTGGTGGCAGCCCAGCCAGCCTGGCTGATTGGTAGGACTTGCAAGGGAATGCCCTTTAAGTTGACAGATAGGCGTGTGGAGTAAGAAAACTTGCCCAAAGTTTCGCCCTGCCTGGAATCTTCCACGTCATTGACATATCAAAGCGCTTCACAGAATGTACTGTAGAGTGGAGTGACTATTTTATTATCAAAACGCAGCATCCAGTTGCACACAGCAATATCCCACAAATAGCTATGGAATGAGCGACCAATTTTATTTGGAGGATTGTTCCAGGACATCAGGAGAAACTCCCTTTTCTTTTTGAATACTGCCATGGAATACTTAGTGCCTGATTCTGCTCTCTCGATCTAAATAAAAGTGACTGAAATAACTACGTAGAGTTGACTATGGTTGAGGGATGAGAGAGGTAAATCTTGTTCATAAAAAAAACTATTAAGCCTTAAATCTGCTTCTTTCTACTATGTGACTGGTGTCAGCACAAAATTTAAGTAACACAGGGCTGTCATGGAAACATCTGCTCAACAAACAGTGCATTATTTGCCCTCCAACAGATTTGTGTCATCAGAAATGAAACGCAAAGCATTTAGTTTCATATGGAAAAGCAAACAGCAGTGTTTGTGGTAGAGATTTGACCTGAACAGGTCAGCTCTCAAAAAACAATGTGATAAAACAGTCCAAGTGTTGGATTACCCTCTCATTTACCTTATTGATGTGATAAGACACTATCAACAACAACAACAAGATTCCATTTATCAAGCGCCTTTCACGTCGGGAGGACGTCCCAAGGCGCTGCACAGTTGGGTCATGACCCGAGCAGGGGGGAAATGGTCAGGGTGAGGGGAGAGGAGGGAGCGAGGAGGGGGGAAATGGTCAGGGTGAGGGGAGGGATGGGAGGGAGCGAGAAGGGGGAAGAGAGTCGAGAGGGGGGGGGATTATTACTAATATTGCAAGGATTATTACTAGGCGACTAATGCAAGGATTATTACTAATATTGACCAGAAGGAAGACAGCAGTAACCAGATCTTCAAAACCATGATAAATACATTTCCTTTCCAAGATTGGCATATTACTGAATAAACAATATTAATAATCTTTGCATGTCATATAACACCTATAATACTGAAAATCTCAAAGCACTTCAGAGAATTGCCATAAAGTGTAGTGACTGTGCATTTATAAGCAAACACCGCTGCCATTTTACTCGCAGTAGGACCTGACAAAAGTGACACTCCAGTGCAGAATTAGTGGGAGCATTGTATTTCCGTCTCCTCCTTCAGATCATTCATGTGCTTATAAGTAACCCTATGTACTTCCCGGAATTTTAGAGGCTTTGCTAAGATGTTAACTTAACCCATCTGCTTGTTCGGGTTGTCTGAAGTGTTATAGAGATAAAGCCTTTTAGACGCACCAAGATAGTAGAAAAGGACATGAGGTTTAGAGCTTTAGGCAGGGCGAAACCTTGGGCAAGTTTCCTTACTCCACACGCCTAATAATAATCCCTCCAAAAAACAAAAACAATAATAAAATTGGTCATATTCAATCCATGGCTGTTTGTGGGACATTGCTGTGCGCAATTGGCTGCCGCGTTCGCCCACAAATATACAGTCAATTCACTTTACAGTATATTCTGTGAAACGCTTTGGGACGTCTAGAAGACGTGAAAAGCGCTATATCAAATGCAAGGATTATTATTATTATTATTAGAGCTGCAGAGGACAATTTCAGTAAAGCACTTCTTTACCGAGAGGGTCACTAACAACTGCAACAGATTATCAGGAAGGTGGCTGAGACCGGGAAGAGGCGTTCAATTAAAAAAAAAACAGCCCGATGGCAAGGAAGACAACCGGGTGGGTATTCCGGAAGGAAAAATCTAATGTGGGGATGGGGTGGGGAGAGAGAGAGAGAGAGAGAGAAGCCAGTGGTGCCGAGCGAGGAATGGGAGCGATCGGGAAGGAGGAGGACGACACGTTACACTTGCACCGCGCCCTTCACGTCGGAAAGGCGTCCCGGGGCGCTGGACGATCGGGTTTTGGATCCGGTCTGGGAATTGGGGTCAGGAGTGGGGGGTGTGGAAGGGGAAGGTCCGGGCGAAGAGGTGAGGTCTTTAGACGGGACTCGGAAGGAGGCGGGAGGGGACAGTCCTGCAGGTCGGGTCGGGAAGAGCTTTTGGGGCCATCCTCCTCTCCTGCCTCTTCCTGTGCCAATTCCCGGTTGGAATGGCGAGCGCGTGCGCAGAAGGCGGGGGGGGGGGGGGGGGTGGCGGTTTGGCGCTCGAGCCTGGTTTAAATGGCGCGCGCGCGCAGTCGGCGCGGGTGAGTGTGCGAGTGGGGGAGGGGAGGGGAGGGAGGGAGGAGGAGTGGCGGTTGGCGGATACGTCAGGTCGGCCTCCTCCCTCCCTCCCTCCCTCGCTCCCTCCCCCTCACGCTCCCAACCGCCGCCGCCGCCGCCGCTGCTGCTGCTGTTGCGCTCAGAGCCCGGAGCCATCTGGGCGCGGTGCGGGCGGGAGGGAGGGTCACTCACCGGCTCGGTCGGTCGGTCGGGTCGGTCGGTCAGTGAGTCAATCAGTCGGGGGCGGTTCTGTCCTTTTTTTTTAGTGGCGGAGGGAGTGAAGCGTTAACCCTCCTCCCTCCCTCCCGGTTCATTCCTCCCTCCCTCCCTCCCTCCCTCTTCCACTCTTTGATGCGCCTCTCCCTCCCTCGCCTTTTTCTCCCCCTCTCCCCACCCCACGCTGTAATATAGCCATCATCGCATCTTATTTTTTTTTAAATCTCCCTCTCTCCCTCCCTCTCCCTCTCTCACTCACTCCCGTCCCTCCGTGTTTCCCTCCCCCTCCCCTCCCCCCCCCCCCCCTCCCGGCAGGTCAATAAAACATGTATCCTGCAGCTGGTGAGTGAGTCAAGTCTGTTCTCCACTAAATCGGTCGTCTCGGTCGCTCGTCTCGGTCGCTTTGCCGTAAATGTGTGCAGACGTTTACGTTTGATAATGTTAAATATTTGGTGGGGTTTTAGATCCGCGGCCCTTCCCCTTTCTCTCTCGATCTCCCCCCACACACACACACACACACTTCACTAGGCCGCACTGGGTAAGCCTCAGCCTGGGAGTAGAGTTGGCGGTAGGTTGGGGTGTTGGTGAGGGCTCTCAGCCTCTGACCTGGCCTCGCTGCTCTGAGAGGGGTCCCGGTGGCCTCTGGCCTGTAATGAATGTAGTAGGTGTTTGTTATTATGTAGATTGACATCATTTCTATACATATATATATATATATATTGTGTGTGTGTGTGTGATGTGGGGGATGTTAAACACACCAATGTTTTGCTCGAGATTAATTACTGTAGGAAAGTGGAGGATGTGCCGGTGTCATAGTAAATGCAGTGAAGGATGGGTTTAGCGTCAAACAGTGCCTCTACTGACTGGCAGATCAATCCGAAAAGGTCATCTGTAAATGTTTAAGCCCCTCTTTTTTTTGGGGGAAAAAAAAGTTTTAAAAGTGCACGATCGGAGAAGCAGTCTCACTCTGCTTTTGTTCTCCGTCTTCGGTTGCTCTCGAGCGAAGGGAAACCTCTTAGGACCTCAAGGAAAATTCTTTGTAGGTGGGATTGAAATGAAGAGGATGAAGCATGTTGTGGTTAGTAATATAGAGTTGGCATTTAACATTTAGGTGATTGTCGGTGTCTAAATGTGTATCACCTTTTTGCTCGTTCTATGGTTTAAATTTGAATCTTCAAATCAACAAATGCGTATACGATTGCAATGTTTTTACCAAAATGTTTGTGAGACACTACTGTGTGTAATTGACTGCTATGTTTTGCCCACAATAGATACAGTCTATTCATTTTACGGTATACTATGTGAAATGCTTTGAGACTTCTCAATGACATGATAAGGTGCTATATCAAGCGCAAGGATTATTATATTATGATGTATAAGCGTGTGGATAATCAAGGGTGCATTGAAAATTCTTATGTTTTCATGTTTGGTACTGGATTGAAATTTGTCAAATAAGTTTGTCAAATAGTGTTTGCTTTGGCATTTTAGGTGGTTAACAATGGGAGGAATGTGAAAACACAACACAGTGTAAACTTATTTGGATTACAAAGACTAGTACCAGTGTCTTTCTCTCTTGCCAATTTACCCCATCAAATGTTCTCTCCTGAAAGTAAATACTTTTTTCCTAGTTCTATATTCTATACAAATACTTTTTTCCTAGTTCTATATTCTATACAAATACTTTTTTCCCCCTTCTATACAGTTCCACCCCATTGAGTGTGGGCAGTCTGCAATGCCCATCAATGTTGGTCTAGTATAACTAGTGGTATTGTTGTTTATGCATTTGTGAAATACTGATGCTAGTTCCTTGAAGATTTCAAAACCATTTACTTCAAAAAATCGGGATTCAGTATGGATTTTGACTACTTGGTAAGTTAGGAGTGAGGGAAGAAAAATGAAAATCTGCCAGGTTTTCCTGCTCTTTATTTCTGCCAGTGATGCTTGCTTGAAAATCAGTATGTGATTATTAGCTAAAATGCATCAGGTACTTGCTACCCAGGTTCAGGCATGAATTGTGGCTATTTGAGTGAGCTTCTTGAACTGTACCACAGCCTGAAGTAGTGTCTTTTGGGGTGGGACAAGTGATGGCTATCCGGATGTGAACAAGAAGAAACAATGATGGATTCATGGGGGTGGTGGGGGGGGAAGCTATCTAAAGCTAGAAAAGTTGATGCTTGAGTAACTTTGGGTCACTATGTAATGCAAGCATTTGTAGAAATCAACCAGAATTTGTCTAGCAAGCACATGTCAGGCTTTGGTATGATGTGCTATAACACGTGGGCTTGACTGTATGACAGGTGAAAGGATTAGTCTCTTCTTTGTTAATGTCCAGCACAATCCTCACAATTTGTTTTCCTTCAGAGAAACTATTCTTAAGGTTTAGTGTACCCTCACCCTATACAGACTTGAAAATTGTGCTAGACTCCTGACAATTATAAATTAAGTGTGAGCCCCAACCCACCCCCCACGCACAAAATACATTTTGATGCCTAAATCATCTTGAAATAGCTTAATCCAGGCATCATCCATATTGGTACAGTCTTAATGCAACTGTTCAACAATGGGCTCTTGGAAGTTCTTGAGGTACATTTTTAAGTGACCATTTTTAACAGTATAGAACTGACCAGCCAGGTGTCTGAACATGTGGAAATCCATCACCATGTTGGAGTATCTGACTCAAACTACTGAGAACTCTGCATATATATGGAAATACCCATTTGGTGTGAGGCAGCACTTTCTCCTTGGAGAGGCACACCATGCTTACCTGATCTCAGAAATCTAGTCTATTATCAGTAGTATCATGGAGAACTGTGTACTTGCCTGGATCAGAAACTGGACTACTGTACCTTGACATCCAGGATTCCATCGCATGTCAGATTGGAGCCAGTTTAGACCCAAAGAGATCACTCTTGGTTTTTCTTTCTCGTGTGTCTTTTCCCCCCCTACCAGGAAATGAAGGCAGGCAAAACATGTCGATGAAGGGCCTAAAACGGATAGTTGTGAAGCTAGCATTTGCATCAGTGACTGTGTTCTGAGTGATTGATGAAAACTGGGTTATTTGTCTTCATTTGGTTATCCACTAGCTTTTGTTTTAACTGGAGCTTTGATTCTCTTTGATCAGATGAAACTTACACACTTAGGGTTAGGGAGGACGTCTCAAGGCACTAGACAATCAGTCTTTCTGACTCGAGCAGTGGGTCGGAATCGGGGATGGTGAGGGGCGAAGAGGGGGGGGGGAGGAGTGTGACCGAAGGCATAATCAAAGAGGAAGATCTTGAGATGGATCTTGAAGGAGGCAAGGGAGGGGGTGAGATGAAGGGACTGCGGGATGGAATTCCAGAGTGTGGGGGCAGAGAGGCTGAAGACTCACCTGCCAATGGTGGGATGGGCGAAGCGGGGTCGTGAAGCAGACCGGAGCCCACTGAGCGGAGGGAGCAGGCAGGTTGGTAGAGAGTTGGAGGTCACAGAGGTAGGGGTAGCAAGGCCAAGACAGGAGAACAAAGTCTTGAAGAAGTTGGTGAGTTGGTTGCCTGGTTTTACATTGCTTCCCACACTGATTTGACTGGTTTAAGGATTATTCTCAGAGAAAATTGAATCGTCCATCTCAGTAGCATTAGTTTCAGGCGCTTAACCTCAGTTATTTACCATTTGCTGCAAAATCTGATGATACATGGGGATTAGGGAGTGGGGTATTTATTTCATAGCCACTTGCAAATTGTCTGAAATGGCTTTGATTCTTCTTGCTAGAGCATCTTTGGATGGTTTCTGATATTTGCACTCTACTGTAATTGGCAGGCTGACACCTGAAGTGAGGATTCTTCAAATCCCACTCGAAGGCTGAGGCAAGGACCATCTCTGCTGCTTTTAAATTGCATCAGAACCACCCAAGTCAGCTGTCATTTTTTTAAAGATAGATCTGCCTGAGCCTGCTTCATTGTTCAATTTTTACAGCATTTGTAGATTTCTTTTTACTGGCCCAATAAAGTGAACAGTTAGTAAAATTGGCAAATAAATGGCTGAAATTCATCTGAGCTTCTAATGAATCTGGAGGAACCATAATTGTACCTTGGGGATATTGATTCTAGACTGTCCATGTTTATTGCCAAGACCAGGTAGTTATGCTGGTTGTCACAGTAGTAAGGTCCTTCCATTGGTCTTCACAACTCTCGAATCTAGCTGTTGACATGGTCTCTTAGGTGCCATGATATTCTTTCTTCAAAAGATGAGAAGGCTGAGCTAATTTGGTGAGTGTTTTAGTAGAGTAAGCATTACCTTCCAACCTTTGAAGAATACATCTAAAAAAAATCTGTGGCTGGAAATTGGCCTTTCAGTTTTGCATGTAGTAGTGAACATCAACAGACTGCTCAGTGTGGTCTTGTTGGACGTTACTCAGCCAGCGGGTTTATTTTGTGAAATGGGTAAATCTGCTTTACTGGTGCTCTTAATTTAATTAATCAATGAGAGATTACAGTTGATTTTATAAACCTTTTCATTTGTTAGTAAAATAATAAATGTTACTTGTGTACACCAGGATTTTCCTACAGTTTCCGCAACATCCTTCATAGACTGCAATTTTTCTAATATAGGATTTAATTAAGAACACCCGTTTTCATCACAACTGAAAAGGAACTGTTGAATGAACTGTATACTCAAAAGGCAATGATCACAGCAATGCATCACTGCTTACCTGCTTGTATTTTGGACTTTACTTATATAGGTTCACACCCATCCTTGAGATTCCTTCGGGGTATTGGTGAAAGGTTGAGAGAAAAAACAAATGATTCTGCTCTCCTGGTCCCTCACATTGATGGGACTGCAAGCTGATTTGTACAGTGGAATTGCTTTTCCAGGAGGAATGTCCTGGGAAGGTGCCTTGTGCAGTCTTCAGGAATGATCTGATTATTGAAAGGGAGTGGCTGAGTATTTATGTTGTGACTTCAAGGAAGACTTTGCAATCTTGTATTAGATATTGGTGAGCTTTACCTGGTGCCCTTGGAATTCTGTTGCATGTTTTAGTATTGTTTTTGATGATTCCAATGATGTAGATTAATTTTAACAAGTCAAGACAGGGTTGAGTTATTACAACAGTTGAAGGGATTGGAGATGTGTTTAAACTTCATGGAGGGTATGGTCATTTCCAAAACTGGAGCGCTTGAATGTTCGTAATGTGGCAGGATCAGATAGAATGCATCCAGAATGCTTTGGGAAATGATGGTGCAACTAGAAAGAGAAAAGGCTTCTTTTTTTACAATTATGCATGGAGGTTGTTCCAGCAGGTTGAAAATAGTTGATGATCCAGTATTTTTAGTAGAAGCATCATTCTGGAAATACCAGAATATCTATCATTCCAAGCCATTTTGATCTTACGAAAGGCAGCTAATGTGTTTAAGACACAAGAATGTAATAGTTGATAATTAACATGCTAATTGTTAGATAATTTGGTTTCAATAATACCTGACTCAGTTAGTGGGTACTATCCTTTGCATGAGATGTTGACCTGAGGCCCCTTCTGCCTGTACTGGTGGTGGTAGAGATCGCATGGTAGTATTTGAAAAGAGGGGGAAGTTGTCCTGGCTAACAATCTACATAGATTTGGAAATGGACCATTTGGCCCAACTCGTCCATACTGTATTCCACATGAGTACCTCAGAGATCATTCCTGGACCCTGTGCTGTGTATACACAATATAAAGCACATGCTATATTATAATTCATTCATATGAAAAATATGTGTAGGTTTACCAAAGTATGTAGGAAATTGTGTTGCTAGGTGCAGATTATTTCCTGCATATGCTGACATAATATAATTCCATATTGGTACTAAAAGTAGCCAATTTCATTGCAAAATTGAAGTGGATAAAAGATGATCGAAAGCATGGTGAAAGACATACGTCTTAAGATAGGCTTTGAAACAGGGAGGGGTGACTCAGAGGGTATCCAGGATGGAATTGCAGAGAGTGAGGGCTGAATGGCTTAAGGCTCAGCCGCCTAATGATTGTATCATGAATAGGGTGAAGGACATGAAGTGGGGAAATATGAGAACTGAATAAGATGGGATGTGATTTATCATGTATAAATGCCATGGCAACTAAAATGCACTTTCATAAATACAGACGTTAAGCTGTTTTCAAGGATTGTTGGCAGACTTCAAATCTAGGTGATTGTACTCAGCGAATCCCAGGATCAATTTCCAGATGAACCAATATCAACTGAAGGATCCTGCCAAGCTTCATTTTCCAATGAAAGACTTGTGGATTTGTTTTCAAATGGCTGATGAAAGAGAAGTTATAAGAACAATGAAGGAAAGGCTCGGGTGCTTTGGTTATATGAAGGAAAGCAGGGTTTTCCTTGGAGAACATAGTGACAACATCAGTTTGTGGTGTGGAGAGTAAGGGCGAGCAATCAAGTCTCTGTTTTCACATCCCATGTCTTGAGTCTGCAAAATAACAGGATGGTGTAAAGCAGTATGCAGTTTTTGTTGGTAGCTGAGGCATGAAGACATGAGGGAACATGGACAGGCAAAATTATAGCTAAATTGACTTCTAGTTAAGAGAGGTGTTGTATGTCTAGTGTAAATGCAACAGTTAATTTGAACACCTGTTTGCAATAAATACAATTAGCATAAGTCTTATCTTTATATATTATAATCACTTAAGTCGTACATTCACCCGAGTTCCATTCAGTTTCCTATCAAAACCACTTAGATTTCTTTGCACTACTCATATTAATCGCCTCCTAACTTGTAACCCCGCTCCCCTATCCTCCATTACTCTCGCAATTATTGGCTGCATTGAACCTTGGGAAATGATTACCTTACCCGTCGCAGCATGTGTGCTTACCGGCTGGCTGCATTGAATCGTAGTTTTGATTAGTCGACACAAGCACAGAAGATTTTCATTTTCTGCGATTCCAGCGCTTGCCAGTGTGTACTCACGGAGCGACGGGTCAATACGCATTGAGTTGCAGGAAATATAGTCTTGTCGAGGCATGTGCACTTACCTGCTGCATTGAATTACTCATGTGCAATGTAGATTATTGATGAAATTGGATTTTATACGACTTGCAGAGTTTTCCTGATACTTAAACTTCATGTAAATCGTATTAAATGTTATATTCCTGACTGATAGGACTTGTGTAAGTTTTGCTGTATTAAACTGAGGTGGATTGTGCTGCATGCTGGGGAAATGATGCAGTGGGTTAGGATGCTAGATTTGACTTGTGAATAGTTTATTTATACCATTGTGCTGAAGTGATGAGTGGGTGCGAGTTGTTTCCTCCACTGTCAGTGGGAGGAGGCGGAGGCTTGATTTTTGCACCTTCTCGTGGATAATCAGAGTGACATTCAGTCACCTGCCTTCAACTTTATTGAAGGAGGATGCTGTACAAAGTCTGGAAATGTAGAGAAGGAGGGGAAGTGGAGGGTGTGACAGGTTATGATGTGGTAAACATCTAAATGTTAAATTTCAACGAACAGAAATTCTTTAAATTCAGTTTTTCTCTTGTATGAGATATTGAGTTTTATCAGTATGGAGCTTAGCTGGGAGGAGCATGACTTTTTAAATTAGATACGAAATTAAAGAGCCCTGTCAGGGGAGATAAAAGAGTATTCACTGCCAGTTTTCTCCCCAGGTCTCTGAAGTTGTTGACTTGTATTTCATGATCCAATGTTTATGCCTGACTGCCTAAGTGGTTATTCTTGAAGTATTTTTTGCCATATTTTCATGTGCTTCTGCCATTTTAATAGAATAACTGTAAGGTTTTGATGCATGGTCTGGTCCCCAAGCTCTGGTTTTCTTTTTATAAACAATCATTTTGACGCTGTTTAACTCTGCCTAATAAATGGGAACTTCAATCGGCTATAGGCCAACATGTGTCAAATGTGTTTGCTGAAAGCTCTTCGATCAGTTTTGTTTGATATCATGTATTTGGAAGGTAAAGAGAGTTGACGATTAATTCTTTTTGAGGCTCTTAGTTTCCTGAAAAATAATAGTTTTAAACCTGCAGAATTCTACCTAGTTCATTGATGAATTCTCTCGCTTTTATTCTTCTCTGTTGAGTAATTTAACGCAGTAATTACTAATCTGTCTCTGTATGGTTGGAGACAAGTGTTTGGAAACCATGTTTCAGCGGGAATAGATTTTAAGTCTTGGCTACAAAAATGGGTTGTGACTTGATGGAGGCAGAGAAAATGTGACTTGCAAACTAGACAAAGGGGAAAGAAACTAGAAGGGGTTTCAAAATTGAACTAGACAACTTCCTGACAACTAAAAGGAAATTAATCTTATCCATTTTAATTTGTTAGGTAGATTGATTTCCCCATATCCCTTCTCTCCCCCTTCTATCATTACTAAGGTTCAAGCATTCATCAGTTCTCTGACCCTCACAGAGTCTTTACCATGTTTCTCTTTGTTCTCTTTTAGCTGTAACCAGAGAGACTGTGTCACTTCCACCTTTTATGTCACAACTAATCCATCTCGACCTTAATAATCATACCCTACCTCATGACTTTCTTTGCCTGTCCTTCTTAAAAGACTCCCAAGTTTTATATGAAAGGTCCAAGGAGTGTAGAATAAAAATATTTTGTGATTTTTTTGTTTAATATCACAATATTGAAGTGAATCCTATTGAGAATCTTGTGCCTCAGTCTGACCAGAGGTATAGAATTCACTGGGATTCTGGTGATGTTAAATGATTATTGATCCTGGAGGGGGTACAGAATTCACTGGTGCTGTTTATTTGTGGTGGAGGAGGCTTTGTCTGGCACTCAGACCTTGCCTTTAAAGAGTACACAATTTACAGCTCCTAAATCACTCCTCGGAAGGAGGAGTTGGATTGACTTTTTCGCATTCTGATCTACTTTTAGAGTTTTGGAATTATAAATTGAACTTTTTTTAAACTGTCTTTGATTGAATCTGAATCTCTTTCTAGCTAAAATTCTCCATTTATCATGCACAGGCACGTCAACATTTGAAAAAATATAATTCTATGAAAATATAAGAAGTCAGCAGTAGTTTTAAGTTGAAATTTTGCGCTAAGTACACGTATATAATTGGGAATTTTTATCCTGCATAAAGTACCTGCCGTATTAAGCTAATTCTTTTTGCAGAAAGGATCCAGCCTGCAGGAGAAAATCTCTGGTCAATTACTAAACTGAGCCAATTTTGTCGTAGTTCAGAGAATGGAAACTGAACAGCATGGAAGTCAAAGATAATCATGCTAAGCTCAGCTCACTAGATTTGTTGTGTTCTCTCAAGCATAAAACCATCTCTTACAGAAGCAGCCTTTTTTTTGTTGAGCACCATTGATTCACTAGTCTCAGGGATAGGCAGGTTCACTTGTGCTGAAGCAAGTGTTGTGATAACTGCAAATTTTGTGTAAATCCAAGTACATTCTCTCTTTTCAGTTCCACGTCCCCCTTCTCCTACGCCTTCAGTGCAGACGCTGTCAACCTTCAAACCACCTATTAGGCCTGACTTTGGCAGCGTGGGGCGACCGATCAAGCTGCAGGCCAACTTCTTTGAGGTGGACATTCCAAAAATTGAAATCTATCATTATGACATAGATATAAAACCGGACAAATGCCCAAGAAGAGTAAACAGGTAACATGTTGCAAGTTTTTTTTTCTCCATAAACCTTCTAAACGTTCCCTTTTAATCTAGATTTCTAAATGAGAATTTATGCTGGTTAAATTCACGTTTCCAATAACCATGATGTAAAGTATTTAAAATAATTGTTTATTTACTTCATTGTTGTAAGGTGGTACAGAAGATCCTGCATAAATTAAATGTTGTAACGCACATGTACTTAAATCAAGTGCACAAAGCAAATTAAGAATTTTGGACTGGGACTTGTCAGAATGAACTTGGGGGCATGTGTGGTGTATTGCTTGCTTGAATAAGTTGTGCACTTATCCGCAATCCACTGTAGAAATGTGCTGATTGTATTCACACCTTCTAGGGAGATTGTTGAACACATGGTTCAGCACTTTAAAAACCAAATCTTTGGAGACCGGAAACCAGTTTTTGATGGAAGGAAGAACCTCTATACTGCATTGCCTCTTCCTATAGGACGAGACAAGGTGAGTAAAATATAAATTCTGAATCTGATGCGGCAAATGCGAACCTCTCTGCAACACCCAGTTTTCTGTTCCTACTCAAAGGGCAAATACTGCACATCATTTGGCAGATTGAATTATTTTATTTGCAGTTTTGCTATTGTGTACAGAGACTGGAAAATGTAGATTATTAGTTTTCTCCCACTAGACCAGTGGTGGCCAACAAAAAAATCAATGATTCTTAATTGAATGCCATAAATTTATGCTACAAATCAAGAAATATTCAATCAAACATTTATTTTGTTGGCCAAAGAGATTGGCCACTCCTGCTCTAGAGTACAGTTTCAGTCTCACCTTTTGTAACAATTGTTACATGCAATGTTTTGTTTATAAACTACAAAAGAATCTTTGCAACTTTTTTGAAATCACTTTGTTGAGAGCTACATCATAGGAATTTCTCCTCCTGAATTGGAGGACAAATTGAGAGGATATGTTATTGTTGTACATGTTGTTGGTCAGATTTCATCTAGAATAGTGCATTCAATTTTAACTGCCAAATTGCTGGAATGATGTTGTCTTTGATACAATATAAAGATGAACAATAGTAATAATCCTTGCATTTGATATAGTGCCTTTTCATGTCTTCGAGAATGAAAAAACAATGAAAGAGATTCCTTGCATCACAGATTTATGCTATGAGGAAAGATTTCAGAAGTTAGACCTTTTCTCATTGGAAACTTTGAATGACTTATGAAAATGTTAAAATTTCTAATGACTAAAACTTTGTAAGATTGTTCCCTATTTTTAATAAATTTGAGTACAAGGTATAAGCTTTAAAATTAGGATGATAATAATAATAATTTTGCATAAGGAATCCTTGAAAGGATTTGGGGAAAAAGTACGAGTCTATTTGTGCAGGAGCACAAAGTCCGAACTTGTAACAAATTAAAGGAGGGAGGACAGATTCATCCATTTACGTTTAGAAATCCAATCCCTGTGTGAACACTGACTGGGCATGCTATAAAGTGGCTGGATAAACCCACATATCCAACCCTACTGATGAAGCTCTTAGATTTTTTTTATAGCACCTTATGTTGAATCTTCTCATATCTCTTGATAAGTATTACTTGTACAGTAGCTAACCTGTTGAGGTGTGGCACCCCACCCAATCAGAGGTCAGAGGTGTTACATAACATGTCTTAGCCAAGGGGAAGAAAAAAAGCTCCCAACAGAACCAGAATATTTTTTCAAGATTTCCATTCCTAGCTGACAACCACCAACACTCAAGTGTTGGCACTAAACCAAACGGACAAGCAGCTAACCAAACGAAGAGATGAACCAAAGCTTGACAAAAGGGCTAACCAATTTAATCTTATTCACGCTTGTCTTGTACCATGAACTTGCAAATAATTGAGTAAGATATTTTTAGAATAAAATGTGCTGAACCCTGTAACGTGTCCTTTGTGCTCTGTGGTGCTCAGTGCTGCTTGTAATGGGTGGTGATGACCTTTATAGAATGAGGATTACGTAAGTCAACCATTTCCTCATGTATTGTAGGTGGTTGTAGAGTGTAGTGGTTTGGTTTCTGTTAAAAGTCTAGAAAGCTACAAGTCTGACGCACAGGGTGCTGAGCTTCAAAATTTAGCTTGTGACCTAAACATTTTTCATTCTTTGAGGGGGTTGCCAGAGATCAGAAAAGCAATAGCCACATGACAGAGTGAATGTATATCTGCTCTTTCAAATGTGTACATAATTCCTCAGTGCACTTTTGTGACATTCACTGGAAGCATCCTGATTTCAAATTGGGTGCTGTTGCATACAGGACAGCAAGGTTACCCTTTAGATTAAATCAGGAGTGACAGCAAAGTGTTTCCATTTGTTTCTTGTTACAGACTCACTGGAAATCTCTTACACTATTTATTCATATTTTAACACTTCATAATCTTAAAACCGCCAAGCCTGGCTCAGCTGACAACAATCTCCTTTCTTGAGTCAAAAGGTTGTGGCTTCTAGTTGGGACTCTTAACTCCTATAATCTAGGCCAGTGGCTCTCAAATATTTTTTGGTGGCCTCAATGTGCAGGTCCCGTTTACCTGTTCAGGTCAATTTAAAAATCCCATGGCACTATTTGAAAAGAGAAGGGAGTTTCGCCCAGTATCCTGTCCCATCAATTACCCCAAATAAAATTGGACACTCACTTCACTTTTTGTGGGACACTGTTATGTGCAAATTGACTGCATTCACCCACAAAATGCAGTCATGCCTCTTTACAACATATCCTGTGAGGTGCTTTGAGGCGGCCTCCTAACATGAATTGTGCAATGTCAAATGTAAGTTATTAGGTCACCCCTAACCACAGTTCCAGTGAACAGGATCCTGTTTTAATTGGTCTTATCCAAATTTGTAGCATTTGTGTACAATGATTGGTAATAAATGGACAGGAGAATCGAGAAACACATTTCTGTAAGGTCAATTAATTTTATAGTCCTCCCAGAGGCATCTCCTGCATTTGTTTTATATTTTACTTTCTTCCCTTAACCCCCACAACAACCCCCCCACCCCAATTTAAATTGATGTAGGATAAATCCATCTGTTGTTGAAAATCTGTTTAATTTATTTGTTTGCCCCCTTTGACTAAGAAATAAGCTAGTTTTTCATGAAATGTGTTTGAGGATTACACCCACCCATCAATGAGCCTTTCAGCAATGAGTACATCTTTTATGATCCTGGAACGCTAGACTAATTCTCTGTTCTTGAATATGCCAAGTTGCATTTAGCTGCTGTGAAAGTGTCATCTGTTGTGGTGAACTGCGGTAATCTGTTTCAATTGATGCAATTCAGAACAAACTTCTTTAAGTGAAACCTGTATACTAGCGTAGGCCTGACTGAAAACATTGCAATTCTGAGCTGAAGTAGCATGGAAATTTACGGCACAGAAGGAGGCCAATAGTTTGTGTCTGGTACAGTGGCATTGTTGCTTCCTGTTTGCTTCATACGCAAAGCAAGAATTGATATTCTAGGGCCTAGCACGTAGGCAACCTGATGACGCAGAAATAGGCCATTTGTTTCGCGTGAGAAGCATTGTCCAACACATGGGAAGAAAGTGGACGAGCTGCATGCATGCTCAATGAATGGATTCACAGTACAAGCAAGTAATAACTGAATTAATGCTATGGTGAAGCATTTTATAACAGGGCTGCACTGTAGTGACACATCTATAAACGATTGTAGTGTCACATGGTACAGTTATGAAATTAAATCTCAATGCAGAAGAATCCTGTTAGGAGCCTTTGCCTGAATCATCATGTGTGGCGGCTTTGCACCACATTATAGAAAACTAGGGATTCATGGGTGATTTAAGCCTTGATCTTAGTTTTGTATGTTTTTTTAATATTGAAATTTTTCTGCTCAAAATTTCTAATAATATAAAATGTATTAATGTTTATAATGTGATCAAAAAAAGCAGGGAATTGGGATTAGAGTATGGTAGTAGATATACTTGCAGTGTTTTGCTCATTGAACTCAAGCTGGTGGAGTACTGTAGCTCAGTGGTTAGAGCATTCGCTTTGCAAGCGAGAGACCTGAGTTCAATTCCAGGCAGGGCGAAACCTTGGGCAAGGTTCCTTACTCCACACGCCTAATGATAATCCCTCCAAAACCAAAAACAATAATAAATTGGTCATTTTAAATCTACGACTGTTTGTGGGACATTGCTGTGCTACCGCGTTCGCCCACAAATATAGTCAATTCACTTTACAGTGTGTTCTGTTAAGCGCTTTGGGACGTCCTCCCGACGTGAAGAGCGCTATATCAAATGCAAGGATTATTATTATTATTAAGCTGTACTTTGAATCTATAATTTTATGTATATTTGAACAGATGTGTGCTATTTTCATTATTCTCTGTTTTTGAATGTAACATTTTGATTTTCGTGGGGTTTGAGTACTCATTTAAGAACTAAATGAGTTCTTAAATTAGTGTGATTAACTTTTTAATTGTTGAAATTAACATTTACAATGTCTTGTTCCTTTTTTTATTTATATATAGGTGGAACTAGAAGTAACTTTACCAGGGGAAGGAAAGGACAGAATCTTTAAGGTGGTGATAAAGTGGGTGGCATGTGTCAGCCTCCAAGCGTTGCATGATGCACTTTCTGGTCGACTCCCAGCAGTTCCTTTTGAATCTATCCAAGCACTAGATGTAGTAATGAGACATCTACCCTCCATGAGGTAAAGTTCACATTAATATTATTGGTATTCTCAAGAGTGGTGTGAGGTTTGAGAGGATTGTAACTATCCCCGGAGTTGGGGGGTGGGAAGAGGTAAGTGGAGTCTCTTTGGAGCTGACCTGGCTCCAGGGTAACCTACTTGGCAGTGGAATGTCTGAATCGAGTCATCCCTTTGTGGCAGTCTTGGTAGTCCATTCCAGGGGAAAATTTTAATTTTCCTTTCATTTGATAATTGAGACGATTAAAGCCCTTCGCTGTATTGCAGAATTATGTGGTGTGTACTGCTGAGACACCAGGTGTGTTATCAAAGTGACTATTGTATATCATTCTGACTGTCACCTCTACTTTAATTGCCTGTACAAAATGCACGGGCTTTTCTTTGGCTTCATTGATAGAATTACATAGACTGTATGTACAGCATGGAAATCGGCAATTTGACAAGTGAGTTTCACACTTTCACCACCCTCTACATAAAGATGTTCCTCCTAAAAGTCTATCTTGGATTTTCTGATTCAATGATAGTGGCCGAATATTATTTTGCACTCGCTTTTTTAAAAAAAAATTGTTGTGAAAATTCTTTTATTACGTTTATTATGATTGTATGGTCAGTGAACTGTTGCCGGTCCAGTTAAAAAATATATTTCTCATTTCCTTCCCAGGTACACTCCAGTAGGCCGTTCATTCTTCACACCGTCTGAGGGGTGCTCTAATCCCTTGGGAGGGGGCAGGGAAGTCTGGTTTGGATTTCATCAATCAGTCCGGCCTTCATTATGGAAAATGATGCTTAATATTGATGGTAGGTTTGTGAGAAGCATATTATGTTTCACTACACTTGATTTCAGAAAAGAGGCGGTATTCTTTCTCCCCCCCACCACACACATACAAATAAACCGGTTGTACCAGGGATGAGGATGTTGCAGAGATTCAAAGGCTTTTTTCCCACCACTTAGAAGTTTTAGAAGTTTTCAAGTTTATGAAGAATTAGGATAGGGTAAATAGTAAAAGGTTATTTCCTTCAGTTGAGTCTGAAGTGCAAAAGCATAAATTTAAAATCACAGGGGTGGTTATTTTATTTTTAAAAAATCTTGTATCCAGTGGGTGTTTGGAATGTGATATTCTCTACCGCAAACATTTGTTGAGGTGGAGTACATGAATTATCTATAAAGGAGTTGGAAAGATTCTTCAATTTTGAAGGATATGTAGAAAGAGTGGAGTAGATCAGTAGGTGAGATGGAGAAAATGCACCTGATGGACAAAATGGCCAGTTTCTGTGCTGTGATTTTTGGTCACTTGTCCACCATTACAGACGGTGAAAGTACAAAGCATCATTTGTTTCAAGAACAAATTAAATAGATTTCTGTTAGAAATATCTTGGATACAGTATACACTTTGGGACACGACATGTCAAGTCAGCACCTTGGGACGTCCTCCTGACGTGAAAGGCGCTATACAAATGTGATGTTGTTGTTGTCAAGTGACTGCCAAGATGGTGGAAGGCGAATTAGATAGACCTTGGTCTTCTTTTGTCTAGAAATTCTTATGTTCTTGTGTACAGTTTCAGGTTGTTAATGGTTAAAAATATGCAAAGATGGGGCCAAAAATAGAAATAACAACCCTATAATTTAAATTTTACATTCACAAGAATTCTGATGGAAAGTGAGTTTAGTGTTTATAGTGGCAGTGTAGTGAATCCAAAGCTTTTCAGTTCCAGTGCTTATTGAAGCTTATGAGTTTAAATTAATTGTAACTATAGTTGGTTGCATGGAATGGGTTTTTATTCTTGATCAAAATGTAATGGAGGAGTAATCAGTCAGTAAGTAACAATTTTGCAGTCTGTTCTGTGATTTGACAGGTAGTGGATTACTTATTAATTAATATAAGCAGCTGATGATTAATTAAATATTTTTAATTCCGCGGAGCAATTAGGATAGTACCAAGGTTTAATTTAGGCTGTCATAAATCTGATGCTAGAAATCATACTACTACTACTACTACATACTATTGTGGTAAGTGCCACAGCTACCCTTTTGAACATAGATCAAAAGTCGTGAATGAAGACCCTTAAGATTATTTGATCCACATGTAAGTCTTGAACCCACATTATTGTAATTCACGGTCTTGGCTCCCATACCAAGATTGGTAACTGCTGACCAACTGAACTTCACTTCATATGATTTTAAACCTTGCACTGGGTGCCCAAATTAGGAAATTGTTTTGTTCCTTATTGTGTTGAGCTGAAATATTCACTTCAGAACCTAAGGAGGTCACTATAATAATAATAATAATAATCCTTGCATTTGATATAGCGCTTTTCACGTCGGGAGGACGTCCCAAAGCGCTTGCTAGTAGATGGCAAATTGATGAATGTTTTGTGTTTTCAGTATCGGCCACAGCATTTTACAAAGCCCAGCCAGTCATCGAATTCATGTGTGAAGTTTTGGATTTTAAAAATATTGAAGAGCAACAGAAACCCTTGACTGATTCCCAGAGAGTGAAGTTCACCAAGGAGATCAAAGGTAAGACTTGGTTACAAATGAGATGTGTTGAATTAGAAAATTAAGTTTCTCTTGATGGTTTAAATAGCCTATTTTATTATTTCTATTTTCTTTTCCTGTTTTCAAAATGTTTTGGCAGTTATCTTCTCAAATATGTAACATTTGATATTTTCCAATACTATGCACTCAAATAACATGTCCTTAATTGTGTCATCACCTTGGTACTAGGTGTATAATGAGCCAAGGTACTTAATTCTAGATCCTGATTTGGGGAATCTTTCTAGGGTTGCCAAATATCTGACCGGGGGATGAGGGAGGTGGATGGAGGATATTTTGTTGACAGACAGGTACTTGAGATTCTGGAGTCATAGTCCAAGGTACTTAGAACCCAGAAGTCCTATTCTGAGTAGCTCTCTGGTGTTCTTTCACGTGGGTAAAAGAATGTCCAACGTACCACTTGAGGTGCAATCTATTACGTGCTGTAATTTGGCTTTTTTTCTGTCATGCATTTCGAATACTTGTGAAGCTAAGTTTTCAGTTTTAAATGGGGAAGAAGTGGAGCAGTAAAAGATATCTGTTTTAGCTTTTCCAATATGTTAAACTTTAATCATTTATGACTGGCATAAATATTGTGAATCTCAAAGATAAAATATTTTGTGGTTGTGTAGACTTCCTGGTACCCAGCTGTTCGAGTTCTGCCTCACAAACCGCCAGCAGTACATCTGCACAAACGGCTTCTCCTCCCGCTCTCACCCGGTCACCTGCGGGTACCCCAAGGATCCATCCTTGGCCCCCTCCTCTTTCTGATCTATATGCTCCCTCTTGGGGATGTCATCCACAGACATGGGGTACATTTCCACATGTATGCAGATGACACCCAACTCTATTTTTCCACCCAACTCTATTTTTCCACCTCTCTTTGCGACCCCCAGTCCCCTGATGTTCTGTCAGCCTGCCTGTCAGACCTCAGGGGCTGGATGAGCGTAAACTTGCTTCAGCTGAACGTTGACGAGACGGAAACCATACTCTTTGGCTCTCGTCAACGTCTAAAATCTCACGGTTCTCACCTTCTCCACTTACCCGACCTACCCCTAAAACTCTCCGAACCCATACGCAACCCAGGCATCAGGTTCGACTCCCAACTATTCTTCCTCCCCCACATCCGGTCCCTCACCAGCACCGCCTTCTTCCACCTCCGACGCATCGCCCGTCTCCGCCAATACCTCTCCCCAAAAGCCGCTGAAACCCTGGTCCATGCCTTTGCCACCTCTCGGCTGGACTACTCTAATGCCCTCCTCGCTGGTCTCCCGTCCACTACCATCCATAAAATCCAAATCATTCAAAACTCTGCCGCCCCCATTCTCACCCGATCACCCCAGTCCTTGCCAGACTGCACTGGCTGCCTATCCCAGAGAGGATCGATTTCAAGATCCTCACCCGTGTATTCAAGTCTCTGCACTCCTTTGCACCCCCCTACCTTTCTGACCTCCTCAAAACAGTACCTGTTGCCTTCGTTCCTCTGGGTCTGGCCTCCTCCTCGTCCCCCGAGTCCTCCGCTCTACCCTCGGCGGCTGTGCCTTCAGCCACTATGCCCCGAGGCTCTGGAACTCCCTTCCTACCTCTTTGTCTCGCTCCCTCCCTTCCTATTTTCAGATCTCTGCTGAAGACCTTTCTTTTCGACCGCGCCTTTGGTCACCTTCCTCCCCCTCCCCCTGCCTAGGCACCGGGATCCGTTACTGTAAAGTGCTCTGAGACGCCGTCCTGCGTGGAGGGCGCTATATAAATCCAAGTTGTTGTTGTTGAGGAAAAATGCATTATGAAATTAATATTCATGCTAAAAGCTCTAATGGACCTCTCTAACTTGTGCAATTTGTTAATTGAAGAAAGAATGTGCATTTTTATTAGTGCCTTATGTTGAATCATCTCCAAGTGCCTTATAGTAATTTCTGTTGAGTCTCGCATTTCTGAAGGCAGCGCGTTAACTACCCTATTATCTAAACAAAATATATCATCATTTCTTTAAGAATTATTAGACATTGTAATTGTATCACGGCTTTTTGGCCACTCTGTATATACAGTGTTGGCTCATTTATAGCTTAAATTGGTTGCAGACCCTGATTTATTTTCCAACCATAAAATTGTAAATCCTGACATTACGCCATTTAAATCCTTTGTCAAACGTGAAATTGTGGTGTTGCACCCCAAAATGGGTCTTTGTGTTCAGGGCATTGCCGAGATTATTCTTTTTGTCATCCTGCTGAAAGGTGAAGCATTTGAAGCACAGCAACATGACGTACACTGGAGCCAACTTTCTACATGCATGCGCAGCGATGTCACTGGCAGTTGCTCAATTGTGATTGGGATTTTATGGAAATTCTCCCCCCGAAATAGTTTCCACAAATAGTCATGAGATGCAGTTTGAAGCTTAGAAAAGCATGTTGCCATGGCAGCAGTAACTTAAACTGATGAAGGTTGGGTGAATTGAACCTGTGTCAAAATTACGCTGTGGTTACCATAGGTACTAGTAATCTTCATGCAGCTTAATAAGCGAAAAACTGAAGGCTAAAGGTGTTTGGTAAGGCTATACCAACAAGGTCAGCCTGACTCAGTTGGTAGCACTCTGGCCTCCGTGTCAGAAGGTTGTCGCTTCAAGCCCCACTTTGGCCAGGGGTCTCCAACCAATCTATCACCACTAAATGTCGTGTACATGCTCAATAAAAACAAGAGGAAGGAATGATATTTACCTCTGCTGTTAACACAAAGTTTATATTTTTATTTCCAGATGGATGAAATACTTTGTGCATCTGGCTTTGTTTTCAATCGAACTAAATAAATGCGCAGTTCTATCACTCCTTCCTCTTGTCATTTTGATCATGCACGAGAGTGCCACCAAGTGGCGATTGACCGGTTGGATTCCCTAGTCTCGGCCAACTCCAATGCAGTGTTTTTTTTGTGTGGGGGCTGAGCTGCAATGTTGGAGATTCTTCCACTGAGATGTTAAGCCAAGGTCCCACCTGTCTTTTCAGGTGAATCGTAAAGATCACATGGCAATACGTTGACAAATGCACTGTATATTTGTCAATATAGATTTTGTCAGGATACTTTATACTGCATTATAACCAAAAGTTAGAGCGATTACACAGTCTACTGGTACACAACATACCAAAAGAAAGAACATTTCTGTTGTCTGAATTCATGTTCTAACATATAGATTTTGCCAATTCCTAAATTTACCTACAGCATGGAATTGAAGTCCATGTTTTTAACTAATATTTTGCATAAATTGTAGAGTGCAAGCTTCTCAAAAATGCAGACTGTTTAGTTTACAGTTGACTCATTTGTTCTCTTCAAAGGAACTGTTTGTTTCCAAAGGACAAAATATTAAAAAACTTGGAAATTTTTCGTTGATTCTTTTTGAAGCCCAAATGGCGCTTTCCTATTTGGTTAGTTATTGACCATCTAGCTTCTAAAAGGAACATGAAACCAAGATCCTTGTCCGTGGGGGTAAAACTGGAATTCTAACTTTGCTAAGTATAGAGGTGCAGAAGAATTCAGCAAAGAAGTGTTCATTGAAATCGATTCTCCACAGAGAAATCATTAAACTGGCAGCGTTACCACATGAAGTGCTTTGGGATGTCCTCCTGATGTGAAAGACGCTATACAAATGTAATTTGTTGTTGTTGAAGTGACATTTATTTGGTTTAGTTTTTTTTAACCAATTGTTTAGTGAATTTCTGATTCTCAGTAGTGGTCAATCTAACTGGTGGCTTCTACTTTCTTGGGGGGGGGGGGGTGGATTTTGAATAGTTTGCAGGGTTGAACAATGTGTGGGATTTTGAATGAGGTTCCGATTAAATCATGCAACCAAACTGTTTAATAAAGAATTGTAAGTTGCTTTATCAGAAACGTTACAAGCTGAGCCCAGTCTGACCATCCCCTGGCCTTTGTAAGGGTCAGTATTTTTCTTAACAAAATAAAGTTTAGTCATGCAGCAATTTGCCCTTGCAGTATCATCTTAGATAGCCCATCAACCCGAGTATGCAATCGGTTTGATATCCCTGGGGTCCCATCCAAGTCACTGAATGTTATTAGGAATTAGACTACTTCCTGGATTGCTTTGTTTATAAATCAGATCTGCTGTATTGGCTTCAAATCTATTTTAAGTCAGTGTTGTCAATAGTTGATCATCCTTTGGAATGGGCAGGATCAATGCCTTGTGTTCAATTCTGGAGCAATTAAAACTGCACTTTTAGTGGTAGCTTGTCTTCATTGCTACCAATGGAGTGGAGTCCTGTAGCTCAGTGGTTAGAGCACTCGCTTTGCAAGCGAGAGACCTGAGTTCAATTCCAGGCAGGGCGAAACCTTGGGCAAGTTTCCTTACTCCACACGCCTAATAATAATCCCTCCAAAACCAAAAACAATAATAAATTGGTCATTTTCAATCTACGACTGTTTGTGAGACATTGCTGTGCGCAATTGGCTGCCGCGTTCGCCCACAAATATACAGTCAATTCACTTTACAGTGTGTTCTGTGAAGCGCTTTGGGACGTCCTCCCGACGTGAAAAGCGCTATATCAAATGCAAGGATTATTATTATATTATTACCAGGAACTTGTAAATTTGTCAGATTTTAGTTTTTGAATTTGGCGAGGAAAGCGTCTCCAGATTGTTAACGTTATCTGCTCTCAAACAATTTACAAACCTAAATTGACTGTGTTGTGCGCTTGTAGGCACATGTGGCAGGTGTTTGCTGTGAAGTGAATGAATCTCTTTTTCTGAAGATAAAGAACCCCAGGAGATTCTTACATATGCAGAACCAGGTTTACAGCTAGACATGTAAAACTTGCTTTATAAGGAGTACCGCACTCTCACATGCACATGAGGTACATTTTCCTGTAGCTCAGTGGTTTGAGCACTCGCAAGTGAGAGAACTGGGTTTGATTCTGGGCCGGGAGAAACATTAGGCAAGTTTCTTTACTCCACATGCCTCTGTTTACCTAGTAGGAAGTAGGAACCCAGTTGTTAGTCAATTGGTGGATCACTTCTCTGGGGGTAATAATTCCTTCAAAAAAATGTGGTCACTCAATCCATGACTGTTTGTGGGACACTGCTGTGCGCAATTGGCTGCCGCGTCTCACTCACAAAATATACGGTCAATTTACTTCACAGTATGTTCTGTGAAGCTCTTTGAGATGTCTCGAAGACTTGATAAGGTGTTATATAAAATGCAAGAATTGTTATTATTGAATAAGATTAATTTTGAATGACTTACTGTCGTTGGCTGTTCTTGCTGTCTGCAGGTCTCAAAGTGGAGATAACTCACTGTGGTCAAATGAAGAGAAAATATAGAGTGTGCAACGTTACCAGAAGAGCCGCAAGCCATCAAACGTAAGACATTTTACACTTCATAAAGTAGCGGTGCAAAATGTATTTTTTAAAATTCTGCAGCAAGAATAAGTTGTTTTGCATAAGCACTTCCAGTGAAATCGCATTTGAAGAAATTGGTCACTGAGTTACTGGTTAGCGTAAATCTGAGTTCAACTCGACAGCATGAATCTCTCAGTTCACCTGCTACATTGTAAATAGGTTTTGAGCATGAATGGGAAAACGTTACATGGCTCCCATTGATAAAACATAACCTTAAGTCCATGGTCTTAAAATTAGAATTGGAGAGAATTTTAGAATATTCTTCGATTTTCTTTTGCAATTTAAAAAAAACACAGGAATTTCTTTTTGAGCAAAGGTTAAAGCCATGAGAAATTTGGGGACCTTAATTGTGATGTAAAGTTTTGTCTTGACAAAGGAAAATAAATGTTTGGTGTTTTTCTTTTTAATTTCACGGCAAACAATCTTAAGTGTGCCTTTTCTCCCCTTGCCCCATAAGGAGGTGATTTGCTCTAAAACTGTCTTTGTTGTTTAAATAAACTCTTGCCTCCTGAACTCTCCATGAAACAACTGTGTATAAGAACAGACTACTGCCTGGACGGACATTTTGCTTTATTCGTTTTGCACTGTCTTGAGTGCCAAACATCTAACACTATTTTCCCTTATTGGATTTGTGCAGATTCCCACTTCAGCAAGAAAATGGGCAGACTGTTGAATGCACAGTAGCACAATATTTCAAGGACAAGCACAAATTAAGTCTTCGCTATCCTCACTTACCATGTCTACAAGTCGGACAGGAGCAAAAGCACACCTATCTTCCACTTGAGGCAAGTCACCTAGTTTCTCCTTTCCAATACCATTAGGTCTTGTTGAGTGACGCACTGATTTTAATAAGGATTTTAAGCTAGATATTTGAAACCATTTGTTGTATTTCATTCTCATAATAGCTGTCACACCAAGTCTCTTCTATGTTTAGTGTTTGGGTGTTGATTTAATCTCTTCAGCATTTACTCTGTGGTTCTCTGCTTTTTCAAATCTAGCTATCTTAGGGCAGAGAAAGTACTTTGTGTACTACAATTTATAATGTTCTGGGCACTGATCTCTTGCAGACTTGGATCAACTTGTGTTTTTATTGTGGATGTCTCTCCATCTACAGTTTACTCCTGTGTCACTTCTTACGTTCTACATCATGTGATATTCATATCTTATTTTAAATTCCTTATTTTCAAGCTCTCAGGGACACTTCCCTGCATGTTGTTGTACTTTGATTTCTGAGAATGCTTGTAAACCACGGTCAACAACAACAAGATTACATTTGTAGAGCGCCTTTCACGTCGGGAGGATGTCCCAAGGTGCTGGACAGAGTACAGCATTTCAGACCCGAGCTGGGGTTGTGGGGTTAAGGGAGGGGAAAGGGGATGGCCGATGGCATGGTCGAAGAGGTGGGACTTGAAGGAGGCTAAGGAGGGGGAGAGGCGGAGTGACTGGGGGGGTGGAATTCCAGAGGTTGGGGGCATAGTGGCTGAAGGCTCTCCCGCCAAAGGTGGGGGGGGTGGGTCGGGGGACTTGGAGCAGACCAGAGCCGGCTGAGCGGAGGGAATGGGTGGGTTGGTAGGGGGTTAGGAGGTAGCAGAGGTAGGGTGGATCAAGGCCATGGAGGGCTTTGTATGTGAAGACCAGGATCTTGAACTGGATCCTGTGAAGGATAGGGAGCCAATGAAGTCGTGTGAGAGTGCGGGTGATGGGGTCATGGAGTTTGGTGCGGGAGAGGACATGGGCTGCAGAGTTCTGGATTATCTGCAGCCTGTGGAGGGAGGAGTTGGGAAGGCCGACAAGCAGCGCGTTTGCATAGTCGAGTCTGGAGGTGATGAAGGCATGAACAAGAGTTTCAGCGGCCTGAGGGGTGAGGTAGTGGCGGAGTCGGGCGATGTTACGGCAGTGAAGGAAGGCAGAGCGGGTCATGGCTTGTTGAGGGTCGAACAAGACACCCAGGGAAGGAAATTATTGCTCAGGAATCATAGCAAATGTGTGCTCACTGAGATTCACAACGCACAGCTCACTATGAAAGTTTTTTTTTCCTGTGGAGGATTGCAGTGAACATTGTACTTCTGCTATTGGGCTCTCCTCTTTCCCCATCCGTATGTTTAACTGACTTTCAGTGTTGTTTGCTTTGTTTCAGGTGTGCAACATTGTTGCTGGACAGAGATGTATAAAAAAACTGACGGACAATCAAACCTCAACTATGATCAGAGCCACTGCAAGGTCTGCACCCGACAGACAAGATGAGATCAGCAAACTTGTGAGTAGATCTGTTGTGGGTCTGTATATGCACAGCGATAGCCACAGCGTTGGCACAGTGAACAAGAGGGCAGGCACAATTGAATGCCCATTTTCAAAAGAATTAAGGATGCTAAGAATTGCTTTCAAATGGGATTTTCGGGAAATTCTGATGCATAGCAATAAATTAGATAGCCTGTTGTGACAGAATCAGTAGACACTTTGCTTTCATACCTGCTGAGATGTTTGAGTTCTCCCAAAAGCTGATGGAGATGAAAATCTTTCTGACTTGTATTCATTAGCAGCCAAGAAATTGCTCTCTGCCCCTCTCCGTCTTGCTAGTGGGAATTGAATTTTTTGGGGGGACTAATGACATCCATTTTTGTGAATTGAAATGAACCTTTCTCTCCACCTCAGATGAAAAGTGCTAGTTTTAACTCTGACCCATATGTTCGGGAATTTGGAATCGTCGTGAGAGATGACATGACTGATGTACCTGGTCGAGTTCTTCAAGCGCCTTCTTTACTATATGGCGGTCGGGTAAGGACCTTATTTCTCAGACTGTCCAGAAAGGCTGTGAATTTTTGGTGTAGGCTTTTAACTACAAAAGCTGTGCTTTGTTTTTAAAGAAATGTATAACACAGAAACATTTTATCACAGAGACATCAGACCAACCTTGATGCAGTTGAGCGGAGGAAACTACTGCGAGAAGGTGGCTGATTCTGGTCAAAAATTTACCCAGAACTAGACCGGGTCGGTTTCCTATAGATATTAAGATAATGGGCTTCGATTGTGACAAGCAGATACATTGTGATTTATTAGCACTAGTTACTGGACCAACTCCGTGAAATATCTCTCAGCTTTTTGCATTAATGCCATGTTGATGCAAATTTATTAATTGTGTACGCATTGCATCAGTACAATACTACTCTTAATTTTGTTCAAAGTTCTGCTGAAACCACCTCTTCAAAGGGGTCTGCCAGCTGGGCTCCTGGACGCATCACCTTTGATTGTGCATCTAGCATCTGATTTGTACAGTTTTTCCTTGGTAGATCAATAAGTGGTAGGTAACTGTCAGTGTCTGATAAAGGTATGATCTAATCGTGTATGCTACTTTTTGTTTTACAGAACAAAACCGTTGCTACTCCTATTCAAGGCGTGTGGGACATGCGGGGTAAACAATTTCACACTGGCATTGAAGTCAAAGTGTGGGCAATTGCCTGTTTTGCTCCCCAGAGGCAGTGTAGAGAGGACACACTCAAGTAAGAAGCCTGTTGGTTCCACTTTAACCTATAGCTTGTACACCGCATGATTTTGATTACCTATGTTTCTTTCTTCCTGCTTCCCCGATCATTCGTATCTTTTTGATTAGATACCTGCGGAAAGCTCACTGGCTTCTGACGTGTGTAATAAAAATGGCTTGGTCTTGCTTTCACCTCCAGGTCAGAAAGGTTTGGGTTCAAAGGATACTTTGAGCTCAGTTTAGCTCCATGCTGTACTGCAGTACTGGGAAAGGTTGCATTTGTTGAAGATATCATCTTGGGTGTGTTGTGTTAAGAGACACAAAGTGGTGGGTCATCCATAGTGTTGATTTTGTGGACAGATTTGATTTAGGGATTAGAATAGAACAAATGGCTCCAATACACAAGTAATGGGTCAAATAGTTTTCAGTATTGCAAAGTTTTTATGAACTGATAGATTTAGTGCTAAGTATGATTTATTAATTTTTATAAATATCGTTTGCTAACCACAGCTGCATTCTTTTCACTCAGGGCATTCACTGACCAGTTAAGGAAGATATCAAGGGATGCCGGGATGCCAATACAAGGCCAGCCTTGTTTCTGCAAGTACGCTCAAGGAGCGGACAGTGTGGAGCCAATGTTCAGGCACCTGAAGAACACCTATGCAGGACTTCAGCTGGTGGTTGTGGTCCTTCCAGGGAAAACTCCAGTTTACGGTCTGTACATTTAGTAGTTGTTCTGGTACCTGATCAAATTTTTATATAAAACCTGTAATGTTTCTGGTACCTTGTACACTGGAAAATATTATCACCTCATTTAGCAGACCAGTGAGCTTGCAGCCCTATCAATGTTAAGCAACTGAATGTTCCCCAAGTTGCTGTCTAGCTTTACTGGTTAATCCTTGTCTCCCAAGGATGGGAGTATGTTTGTATTTATAATCCTTGCATTTGATATAGTGTCTTATCCTGTCTGAGATGTCTCAAGCGTTTCACAGAGTATGCTTTAAAGTGACTGTATATTTTGTGGGTAAAACACGGCAGCCAATTGTGCACAGCAGTGTCCCACAAACTGGTGAATTGAATGGCCAAATTATTATATATTTTGAAGAGATTATTACCCCCAGAAAAGTGATTCCCCCAGTCGACTGACAATCAGACTTGTATCTACCAGTCCTGTTGAACAGCTGGATTACAATGGTGAATGAATGATTCATCTTCCGTGTTAAAAATGCTAAATTTTGTTAAGACTAGTTGGTCAATGATCATAACTCCTTCACTTGACTGCTTGGATCTAATTCCACACAGCACCCCCCCCCCCCCCACCCACTTTTCCAGGCAGCTTTCCCCATGCGTGTGTAGTAATGCTACCAGTCACGTAATTGACAGAAAGCTGGTTAGAAACCAATCAATGACCACGTATCAACAGGGTTCTAATGTTTAGTAATAATCCTTGTAATTTAATATAGCAAAACCTCTACCATTGCAAGCTGACATCTAATGTTCTCTTTTTACAGCTGAGGTCAAGCGTGTTGGTGATACACTGCTGGGAATGGCGACCCAGTGTGTCCAGGTGAAAAACGTGCTGAAAACTTCCCCTCAAACACTTTCCAACCTTTGCTTGAAGATCAATGTGAAGTTGGGAGGCGTCAATAATATCTTGGTGCCACAGGGAAGGTTAGCACAGTAAAAACTTTTATGTCTAATGATAGCTTGTGCAGGAATACTTTGTACTTCTGACTAGTTAAAGTTGCATCTTCCAGCCCTTTATTGAGGTGTGAGCTCCATTTACACCCTTCCTGAATGGCGGGAACCTAAGAGCAGTAGTGGGAAAAAAGTATAAGGATTGAAATCCAAAAGACTCTTTTCAAAAAAAAAATGTAGCAGTACTGGTGAGCAGGACTGTAAAGAATGAAAATTGACCCCTTGGCTTTATGTCCAGAGGAACAATCGAAAGGTGGGGAAGTCATGTTCCATTTATATAAAACATTGGTAAGAGCACATTTGAGGTACTGTGCAGTTCTGGTCGCCATACTACAGAGGAATATTGTAGCATTGGAGAGAGCGTTGTGTAGATTTACAAGGATGTTACCAGGGATTTGTGGATACAGCGATCAAGAAAGATTGGACAGATTGCAGCTTTTCTCTCTGGAGATGAGACAATTGAGGGGTAACCTGGTAGAGAAGGCATAAATAAAAGATGGCTGGTAACAGATCTAAATTGGAGTTCAGGAGAGGTCAGTCCCAATTAGTGCAGGTTATCAATTCTACTGTACAATTCTTATCACCTTAATGTCAAAATTAGTTACTTTGAATTGTTGAAGACTGTTATCTAGATAAAGACTCCTGCTAATCTGTGCCTGGGTAAGGCTATTTACTGATGAATGTGTCTCACCAGGACTCTGAAGCATGTTTATAATAAAGAATAATATAGAAGGTGCACTAAGCCACTTTATTCAATGAGTGAACAAACCTTCAAGCTGAATTTTTATGACTTCACCTGCATTTAATAATACTCTTCTTCCTGAGCTATCTTGAAAATTACTCCTCTGCTGTGATTCTGTAATATCTATTTAATGATGTAGATTATTTGGGCTGTAAAAGTGAATACTTTTGCAATATGCACAATTTCTTTTTCAGACCAGCAGTGTTTCAGCAGCCAGTAATATTTTTGGGAGCAGATGTAACCCACCCACCAGCTGGGGATGGGAAGAAACCTTCCATTGCTGCAGTAAGTCTTGTATTTTGTACCGTATTGGCTCCACATTCCCCCAACTGATTCAAGTCCTCATTTCATAATCTGCAACCTCCTTCAACCCTGCCAATCCCATCACTTTCTCTACTCAGCTAACAGTGGCTCACTATTGGTGGGAAAGCTTTTAGTCATTCTGCCCCCACTCTCTGGAACTGCATCCCTCCGCTTCTCTTCCCCAGCCTCTTAGTATCTTTTGTGAACTTTTTTTTATATTATCCACCCTGGAATAATTGTCCCTGTCCTATTTTCTTAGACAGGATTGTTCCAGTTGTGACCTTCAGCACTCTGCAACTTCTGATTATTTTAAATTTCTCAACTAATGGGACAGACGTTCTCTTTGATTTGCAACCTTCTCTGGGCCGCATCTGTGTTTCTGCATTCATGTTCTAGAACTTGGCAGCGCTGTTTAGGATTTGGATATAAACATCGCACAAACTATTTGGGTTGATTGGCCTTTTTCTCTGCTGTAATCCTATGTAATTTTATGCAGTAGAATAGTTGGTAAATTATCTGTTCCAAATGTTCAAGGATTTGAATTATTAAATTAATTTCAAACCTGCCATAATACCTTCATTTTGGAAAAGTTGGGGTGTGACATGAACCTATTCTTCTTAATTTTCTTTTGAAAAATGGTTCTAAAATTGTTTTTGGAAGCTTAGTGAGTGTTTGTTGTTGTTATTCCTTTTCCTGCTTCAGGGCACGTTTTTTTTTCCCCTCAGGTTGTGGGTAGCATGGACGCACATCCAAGCCGTTACTGTGCCACAGTGCGCGTGCAGCAGCATCGGCAGGAAATCATCCAGGACCTGGCGTTCATGGTGCGAGAACTCCTCATCCAGTTTTACAAATCCACTCGCTTCAAACCAACCCGCATCATATTCTACAGGGATGGAGTCTCGGAGGGACAGTTTCAGCAGGTGAGTGAAGACGGGTGAAGCTGTCGATTGGTTTCAGTTTGTTGGCTGCCTGACAAACTTGTATAATCAGTACCTTTAATGTAGAAATAAGCGTCTCGAAGCACTTCACTTGGATGATGGGAGTCAGTGAGCAGATAGACTATGTTAAAGGTTAATAAGGAGATCAGAGATGCATTTTTAAGAGGGTCTTGAAGGAAGGTCGGAAGGGTGAGGAGATATGGGGGTGCATTTCAGAGCATAGACTTGTCTACCTTTGTGGAGAGAGAGGGGAATGAGCAGTGGACAGACCGGAGTTGGAAGAGTGGAAGACCAGGCAGGAGTAGAGGATTGTTAATGGACTTGGAGATCAGGGAGAGGATCTTGAATCAATCCATTGTGGCGCAGAACCCATGTACATTGGGGTCTAATTTGCGGCAGATGTTTTTCAGAGTTTGCTGATTTTTTTGGATGCCATCCCTTTTCTTTTTTTGTGGGGAGGAGTTATCAGAATTAAACTTTTGAAAGTTTCCATATTAGTACATTGATGTTTTTACTCATTGAGTAGTCAGGACAGATTTTACTCATTGCGTAGTGTGTAACAAAGGATGAATGGGAGTACATTAAAAGACTGCAACTTAACTGAGGGGCTTGGTTGTAGAAGCTTCCAAGTTTTAACTGGGTCAATTTGCAAAGTGGTCTAAGCTTCAAGGAAATGTTGCAGCCATCCTTGTCCAGATCCACTGGGATCCAGCACCCAGCAGATAATATTTAAGATTTTCTCCCTCTCCTTCAAATACCACACATACCTTGCACCACCCTATTTCCTTCATCTCCTGCCACCATCCTCTTCCAGCCATTACTTCCAATCCATCAATTCTGACCTGCTTCATTGCACTCGCGCCGCCTTCAGCAGGCAAGCTTTCAGCTACTTTCTTCCCTTTCCTGTTGAACAGTTTCATCAAATCCTTCTGCCTCACGTCTTCTTTCTCTGCTAGCCATTTCCACGTGAAGATCTAACTCTTTAACCACCTTCTCCCAGCTTGACCTCAGGCTTGGCTTCCCAGCTTTGTGAAGAGTGTTTGAGAGGTTCTCCCAGTATGCCTGTGCAAATATCAATTGTTATTGGCTGTTAACTAACATAAAACTTTTGCTAGGTGCTTCATCACGAGTTGTTGGCTATCCGGGAGGCGTGCATTAAGCTAGAAAAGGACTACCAGCCCGGCATCACATTTGTTGTGGTTCAAAAACGGCATCACACCAGGCTTTTCTGTACTGACAAGAACGAACGGGTAAGAACCATTACTGAATAGTCAGGTTCCCAGGTGCAACCAGTAATCCAAAAGGTGAATGGAATTGTGGCCTTTATCTCGAAGCCTGGAATACAAAGGGGAAGAAATGATGCTTCAGCTGTATAGAGTGTTAGTCAGACGCCATCTGGAGACTGCGTTCAGTTTCAGGCACCAAACCCCAGGAAAGATATGTTGGCCCTGGAGGGGGTGCAACACAGGTTCACCAGAATGTTACCAGGCCTTAAAGGGTTAAGTTACGAGGAAAGGCTGTGTAAATTTGGATTGTATTCCCTTCAGTGTAGAAGGTTGAGAGATGATTTGATTGAGGTGTTTAAGATGATAAAGGGATTTGATAGGGTAGATACCGAGAAGCTATTTCCTCTGGTGGGACACTCCAAAACAAGAGGGCATAGTCTTAAAAGTAGAACCAGGCCATTTAAGAGTGAAATCAGGAAGCATTTTTTCACTCAAAGGATGGTAGAAGTTTGGAATTCTCTCCCCCCAAAAGCTGTGGATACTGGATCCATCCACACTTCAAGAGTGAGGTTGATAGATTTTTGGTAGGTCAGGGTATTAAGGGATATGGGGAGAAAGCAGGAAATTGGAATTGAAAGGATTAGTTGAGGAACAGATCAGCCATGATCCAATTAAATGGCGTAAAAGGCTTGAAGGACTGAATGGCTTACTCCAGTTCCTATGTTCCTAACCCAGTTCCTATGTTCCTAACCCTCATTTTACTTTGGTGGATTCATTGTAACTGAACATTGTAACTGTACAGCTGAAAAACAATGGGAGTCCAGGTCAGGCCTATGTGGCCTGCTACATTATACATTTTTAAACTATTCTGAACAGCAAAGTACTTGTGCAACAGTGTGAACACGGTGTGAAAGTTGCCTCTCAAGTGACTATTTGGATTTATTCTTGATTCTGTAAATTATAAGATATCAAGGATTGATCAATGACTCATCCGATCATGCATTAGGTGGGAACTGGTTTAGACAATTGGCATGAATTGACAGTCAAGGGTTTTGTTTTGGGCGTTTACTTCACCAATACTGGACTTCCAAATAGACCCAAGAATTAGAAGACTGGATGTTCACACAACAACAAATTACGGAGGTGGGGGAAGCAGAACAGGAAATGGCATTCTTATTACTTAAGCATTAGAGGCTTCAATTAGAAAAGGCACAAAGTCAAAGGAAAGATTAAAATTCAGATAGCTATGAAAGTTTCGGGCATGAAAGAAAAGAAAGTATTTGTGTTCAGAAATGTGAAATGCTGTCTCTAGCATTTCCAATTCTGTCCACTGTAGATTAGTGTTTCTGCTAATGTGTCTTAATGGCCTGTCTTTCAGACTCCAAATGTGTTTTAATTTACTTTTATTCCCAGGTTGGCAAAAGTGGTAATATTCCAGCAGGCACTACAGTAGACACAAAAATAACCCACCCGTCAGAATTCGACTTCTACTTGTGTAGTCACGCTGGTATTCAGGTGAGTTGTAAAATGCCTATTGGGGTACTGTAATGTCGGAGAAGACATTTCCCTGTAAACAACCAGTTAACCCTCGGTAAAAGAAACTTCTTGAGAGGGTTACGAGTGCCCAGATGCAGCCCCTGCCATTGCTGATCACAAATATTCATTGTAAATATTAATTTAATATAAATATTTTTAAAAATCACGTGAAAAACGCTTTATCGAATGCAAGTATTATTATTAAAACCTTTGGGAACGAACCATTTAGCGTAATTATATTGCTGCAAGTCGCTTATTGCTGCTGTTTTATTATGCTGTATCCTGCAGGGAACAAGCAGACCATCTCACTACCATGTGCTTTGGGACGATAACCGCTTCAACGCAGATGAACTTCAGATCCTCACATATCAGCTTTGCCACACGTATGTCCGATGCACACGATCTGTGTCCATCCCTGCCCCAGCCTATTACGCTCACTTGGTGGCTTTTCGTGCCAGATACCATTTGGTGGACAAGGAACACGATAGGTACGTCAGAAACATTTGAGACTTTGACTAGTCGGGCTTTGTTTCCCAGAGAACGGGGGGAAAAAAGTTGACAGAAACACGGGGTGATGAAAGTTTTTTTTTAAAAAAGGCTGCTGGTAAACATTAGCTCGTATGCACTTTTGATGGCTTGGGTTCTGCATGACAGTAAGCCTTAGCATTATTAAGCATTTACTGTCCTGTGTAATGTGGTATTGAGTTAGAAGAAGCTGGGAATGTTCGCAGTGAGAGAGGTTCCGGGGAGGTGTTATTAAAGTATTCGTGTTCCTATAAATAAAACTGGACCTTTAACTGTCTCTTTATCTCCAGAAGATTGTATTGGAGAGCAGATTAGCGGATTGATGCAAATCCATTTAGAGGCAGGATTTAATATTTATGAATCCTTTTGCAAATGCTGCATTTTAGATCTGAATGTTACTTTGTTGATAAGTCAACCCAGATTCAAGTTTAGAAGAGGGCAAGTGAAAAGTCTGATCACATGTAATTTTACATTGAATAATGAATATGCATAATAGATTGCTGAATGCCAACTAATGCAAATAGGTCAATATTTGTAGAGCTAATGGAAATTGTGCTGGTGCAACCAAATAATTTGAATCAGGGAGGAATAAATAAATATGCAGATTGGAAATAAAGTAATAAATGACCCATGGGTGTATTTTCTGAGCAGATTTCCGAGGTGTTATACATTTTGCTGTTGTAGTCTTGACCATCTCATAGGTGAGGCGGAAGGTGTTTTAGGAATTTCGGTCTGTGCAAGTTTGTCTGTTGTAATAGTATGTATTGATGTGTTCTTTATCTTTCCAGCGCTGAGGGGAGTCACACATCTGGACAAAGCAATGGAAGGGATCAACAGGCCCTGGCCAAAGCTGTACAGGTTCACCAGGACACACTGCGCACCATGTATTTTGCTTGACAGATGTCCTCATTTGGGATTTCTGAACAGAGCTGGGCTAAGACCAGGCCACCTGCACTTATATTCACCCTCTTCTCACGGGCAGTGGTGATGAACTTGAGCAGTTCAATGTTTCTGTTGATGTCTACATTTGCAGTACCCTGTAGGCCTCTCTCCTTGTGAGGTGAAATGTTATGTGGCTATTAATTTACAAATCACGTTGCCTGTACTATTTCACCTGAAAAGTGAAAGCGTGGAATATTTGTGGACCTACAGTAGTGTCTCAGCTTAGTACACACAGTCACTAATGGAAGGTAAATAAATGCAACCTAATTGTGCATTAGACAAGAAACTAGGTTAAATTTAAGCCTAGTTTTAAAAAGCTTTTTGATTAGAGAAGATGAAAAATATATTTTCTTGAACTTTCATAGTGTGCATTAGAAACTGCATATTTCGATGGAGGTGTGTTATTTAGGGCAGCAGTGTTAGTGGAAGATCATGTTGGCTCTTTAAAGATACAGTATCCCTATTGTTGGTCTCAAAACAGAAACTGAACATAAAGCAGCATTCCTTCATTATGTCTGGAGTTTTATCCAGTGAATTCAAAGACTACTGTAATACAGTACTGTGAAACTTGGCCAACTTTCTTATGAATCCCTAGGGTCTCTTAACGTTGAAAGTAATTTTGTAAAGAAACTAGATTCTTTTTTAATGAACGTACATCTTTATGGCTAGAATTAGAACTATATTGTACAGACTTGACTCAGCATCTCTGAAAATGTTAAACTGAGAATGCCAACAGAAGGAATGCAGTCTCTTTAAGGTGCAATTTTGAGAGGAACGTGCTTGAAGCAATTTATCTTTGGAGACAATCTTATCAAACGTAACTAGAACTGATTGACACTACTATTTTTTAAACAAAGAAATGAAGTCTCTGATATTTTTGTAGGATACTGCAAATTGTTTAGTTCTCAGATCTCTTGATAACAGTAAAACCAGGGATTGAACAAAGTACTGGCTGCCATGGTGGGCCTGTCATGTGGAGCATAAGGATTTTATCATGGCAGCTGTTCTCGCTTTTCATTTTGAATCGTGAGTAGAAAGAAAAGAACCAGTTTGATGCCATAAAACTAAGGAAAGAGAGAATGAAGTGGAATCTTATTTTAAAAAGTAAACTACCTCGTGGTTACCCTCGTCCCAGCAAAAAATAGAGAGCGAGCACATCTCTTATCATGTTGGCAGGACAGTTCAAAGATGGTGCTAGGTTTTTTTGCCACGAGACAAACCTTTTGTTATGGTAGTCTGAATCTGCGCAAACCGATGCATGAAAATTGCCCCCATCCGACCCCCCACAGTGAGGCACAGCCTTTCTGTACCGTATATATTCCCTAACTTTATTCCACAGCCTCTGTGCACTTATTTGATTGATTCAAAAATCACTGTATGATACATAATTCTTTAACATACCTCAAAACATTCGTGAGCTTCAAATGTCAACTAAGAAGGTGCAACTATCGTAAAATTTTAGTGTAAGGCAGTTATGTTTGTGCAGCCATGAAATCTAGCTGATATTTTACCTGTCGTAGACCTTCCAGACTCTTTTATCTGTTTCGATGTAACAAACATGATACCGGCTACAGGCCACATATAACTGGAACAGTTGGGCAAAAGCAGTTTGCCTACTTGTGTGTTTGAACATATGATGCCAGGGCAAAGTGCTGCCAGTCACATTAGGAATCTGACAATTGTGGTGAACTGGTTCAGACATTTTAATGTGTTTTTTAATTTATGAAATATGTATTTTGTGACTAGACTGCTGAAAAATGTCAAATGAATTCTGAGACGCAGCATGTTGTCTGGTTTCCCCCCCTCCCCTCCCCGCTTGAAATGCAGTCATTTTATTATGTTTCCAAGTTAGAAGTTGAGCGGGGACAATAGAAAAGAATTGTAAAATGTAGTTCATTCTGTGGATGCTGCAGAAGCAGCTGGTAAATACATAACAAATGCAGCACAGCTTTATTGGCATTCAGTAGTTGCCACACTGGAGCCTTCCAACTCCTGACCCTGAAATCAGAGTTCAAGTCCTCAATCTTGACTGACATTCACACTCAGGCCTCTTCTTCTGCTCAAGTTTTAAAAGTCTTGACTTGGTTTTCTGAGGGGACGGGGATGAAATCCTGCCTGCAAATTGTGAGGGGAGTGGAAGGAGAGAGGTGCTTTCCACAAAACCTAAGCACTTCTGCTAACTCATTAACTGAACAGAAGCATTAACGATGTCAATCGCGATTCCTGATTGTGAACCATACCACCCTTTCCAATATTGTGTGGCTACTCAATTAAAACTACTAAATTATTACAATTAAAACAAGTTGAAAAATAGAATGAATACTCAGGGGTATAATGACTACATTTGCTTTTTTTGTAATTTAAAGGATTGAGAACTAGGAGAGGTGTGTATTATCAAAACTGAATTATGAAGTATGGCATTATCTTATTGGAATTCAGGTAGGCAGCTGATGCAGTGTTAGAACTTGTCCCTTTCAAACTTGCTCGTACAGGCATATTAGTTTTAATGAATTGGTACAGTCCGTGTGTTTCTTTTTATATTTTAAATGCAGAGTTAAGCTTTGTTACACTCTTGTATGGAACGGCAAAGAAGTTTTGACCAAAGCTTTATCTTATCGAGCTCCTCTATTGACTTCCTCACATAGCTCCAGGCTTGATCAGGGAGGGGTAGAAAAAAAGATTTCTTATACAGCGGTTTGTAATAAGTTCCATCATATTTGCAACACAAAAATCGAATATCACCACTTTAGAACATACATATAGTTAGTTATCTGTATTTTAAAGCAAACACAACAGCCTGGGCTGAAGTGATTTATTTTCCTGTTTAAATATTATTAAATGCTTATTGCACTTAGGGTACGGACATCATGGAACAAAGTCAGCCTCAGATGACTTGAATTTTTTTATAAAAAAGTATATAGAGTGTAAGTGGGCAAGTAGATTCCTGCATATTTAAAGATTAGAGAATCATAGGTGCTTTTAATCAGTATTTTCTGTTTTTAGCCAAACTTAAATGACTGCGCTGAGCTATTGTTCTAGAATGGGACAATCCTTAGATGCTTATCTGTTTCTTTTGTTTCTAGGGGTGGATTAGGTTATTGAAGTGTCCTTAGCTATCAAGCAATCTCTAACCAGCACTGTAAAAAAAAGTTTACACATTGCTTCAAAGTTATGGGTGCTATTGCAATCTAGCCCCTGCTATTTTCTGTTTATTCTTAGACAGTATATTTATGGTGATAACTGGCGTTGAATCTGAGAACATTCTGATACTGTAAAGATTTGCAGCGGTGATCCCAGCATGTTCTATGCCAGCAAGATTAAAGCAATGATTTTGTGAGAAGCTATTACATTAGCTGCCATTCTAGAAACAATTGATGCTGCAATTAGGTGATTAAATCTGCCTTATAAATTACTGCCATTAGTGGCCAACTTTCAGTTTGGATAGTTTATTTTAACAATCTACGCCAAAAAAGTAGATAAAAGAACTAGATTGTAAAGCAATTTAATTGGTATTCTTATCAGCATGTGGCAGAATTCATCACAGGAATTAAACTGCAGCGAACATTTTATGCATATTGAGAAATTATTTGTGCTTGTAAATACATCAGTGTAAATGATTCCAGTAAGGTGAAACAACTAAGAATTTTTTTTAAAGTAATAAAGTAGCATGATATGAATTGGTTGCAAAATGTTTCTAGCTGTAGGTTACTTTAAATGTCTTGCCACCTTTCATACCTCACATTTATATACGAGTATCATGAAACCTTTTCACAGCAGCGTTTTAAAAAAGATCTCTAAGGCCAATCATTGACCGGGTTTTGAAAATGCTGCTTTGGGATCAGAGTGTTTGCTAAATACAACATCCATCTTAGACAGCATTTCTAAATTGTATTTGTCCTCCATAATTCATATACAAAACCTGCATATGTTGTACTATTTAAAAATTACTCGTGTAAATTGATGGATCCACTGCACAGTCTAACTATGGTTTAAAACACAGGTGAATAATGTGTAAAACACACTTGTAGTGCACTTTCTATGAGCCTTTACATTTGTCACAGTGGTGCTAAACATTGTGCATAAGCTGGATCTTGTGTTTTTTTGCCGTTTTTAGAAAGCATCCTCCAGAAAAAATGTATTATCTTAGAAAATACTGCTTAGATGTCAGGAGCCAATTGATGTTTGTTTTCAAAAAAAATTAGGGCAAAGATATTTAGTTATCGACACTGTATTATGAAGAAATCCAAGGACATTCGCAACTTGAGCCTTTTATTTAAAACCTATATTGTATATGTGCTGTATAATTTAAAGTTTTTAACCTTTTGAAATTTACCAAAAAAGTTTCCACTCCAGTAACTATCATTTGAGTGAAGAAGTTGAAGACCGAGTTGTTAGAATCCTAAACATTTAGTCCAATTTTTCATGGGTTTTCCTCACCCTAAAAATTACTATGTCTAGTTTTATATTGTAAAATGCTTAAAGCCAAGATACTTCGCAGAAACCTCCATTATTCTGAATCTTGGGGGTCTGATTTGCGGTATTTCTTAATGGGGAAATGCAGAGTTCCCATTGATCTGAGGAACTCGTGCTTTGAAGGAACATCATAGGAGCAGAGTTCATGTGGTTCAGCAACATATTTCTAGTTACTGGATTGAATTGCAGGATACAGTATACTGTTTGGAAATAATATACTAAAATTTGACCTCCTTTACCTAAAGGATAAGATCTGGCTTGACGTGGGTCAACTCAAATGGGCAACCTTTCTTTTGGGCAGGGAGATAGATCAGCACTGAATAAGCGAAGTATTCACTGAAAACATCTTGTAAACTATCTAGCAGCAGATAGTCAAGAGTCCAAGCCTACAGTCTGTAACATTTATATAGCTTATACTGTGCTACTATAAATGTTAACAAATACACCGTAACTTACCTTTTGACCTTACTGTGATTTCTACATTGTTGGCTTTATATTTTTATTGTAGTTTTTTTTTACTGACTTGCCATTAATGGGAATCCAGTGGTCTCGCAGATAGGTCCAGATCTTGCGCTTTCTGCTCTGTTCAGAATTGCTGCCAGTTTTTTTGTTTGCAAAATTTAACACTGTAACTTGTATCATGTGTTTGCTTAATGTGATCAGTCATTTTTCCACTTTAAAGCTGTAGCTTTCCTTATGACGATGCAAGACAAATCAGACTGTGGCAGCGGTTGTCATCTGACATCTCTGATCTGCTGTTTGGAGAATGATAGGGGATTTTTTTAAATGATATGAACATTTTGAGCAGTTGAACTATATCAAATGTCTTGAAACACCTGACGTGTCCCTGGGCACTTACAAAAGAGAAAAAACACAAATCCAATGCAAAAACTACATCTTCCATCAAAATTGTCATGCAACAAAAAGGTGCTTTGGAAATAACAAATTCAGAAAACGATCACTTTTGAAGTGTCAGTTATCTTCTGTTTGTCTGTGATCCGACTGAAGACCTCCCTTAAATGTATTCAAACTTTGGAGAAGAAAATACAAGGCCATTTAAAGTAGAAATGATGCTTTACAGACAGTTTCACTAATAAATATATTTCTTGGAAGTAAAATGTTAATTTACTTAGTTTCCTGGGAAAGAGGAGGTGGGTGGGGGAAGAGAGAAAGGAATTTGGTGCCAATGTGACTTTACAGCATCATATACTCTTTGATTGGCCTCCTTTCTATTTATTTAGTGTGTACTTTTTTTTCAAAATGTGGGTTGGAATTATGTATTTAAGGCATGATAATTATCATAGAAAATAAAACAATTTCCATGTATTTTTGATCCAGATTATCTTGATATTTCTTTTTCTCTACGCTTATTCTCTTTATTTCCCCCCACCTCCCCCCAAAAAATCAGGTATCATTTCCACTCTAGCGTGTTCAAAAGAAAAAAAATAAATGATTCATGTTTGGGGAAAGGCATTGGCAACAGGAAAAAGGATTAAAAAACCAATTGTGCTTTCTTACCCCTTTTCTATTCTGGACCTTCCTCAATGGATTGGCCCATTGCTGCAACTGCAACCTTAAATTGCAAAGCATTTCTCTGAGTTTAAAACGTAAAGACCAAATGAGCAATCTTTATTCTGTTTTAATTTTAGGATTGATGCAAAGTTAGACACACAATTGTAATTTGTTCTCCTCTCAAAGTTTATTATAGTGCTTTATTTTTTTTCTTTGTGCCTTGTGTAATCATTCCCATTGCATTGTCAAGTCTGTTGACAGGGTTAAATAGCAGTGCATGACCGTATTGTACATAAACTGCTCAAATGAACAAACCGGTTTAAAAGAAAAACTTAATATATTTTGAGAAATTGTAAAGCACTGTTATTTATGCTGCATAAAATGATCAGTATTGCACTTTCTCAGCAGTCACTTCTGCCATATGACAGCTGTTAACAGAATAAAATAAACTGTGGACAAACGAGGTGGTTCTGCACAATGTTTTTTAAGAGAGAAAAAAAATCCTACTCTTAAATCCTTAAATAGCAAAAGGAGGATTTCAATGCTTTCAAGTACCTCAAGAGCCTGACATATGCTGCATTGAAAAGTTTTCTGAATATTTTTTGTTTTGAATTGCACAAACTCATCTACCTTCTGTAACTACTGCATTTTACAAGAGTGAAGTTGACTTCTGGAGCACTGGTAGAATTGGGCACAAAGTGGACTTCTAAGTAATTTTAGTTCATGCTTTAAGTTGCATTTTAAATCAAGTAGTTTTGATCCTGAATGCCAATTTTTTTAAAAACCTTTTTAACCAGCACAGATAAGGTTCTGTTCCTCAACCTAATGTTTGTGGTCCATTTGCGCTTGAATGAGCAGTTTACACTCCTGTGGCGATGAGCATTAGCGTTGCTTGCAGTTTGTTTTACTAATGTACTTCTCTTGTGTAAATAATTACAATAGGTTACAATTGTCCATTCCCTTTGCGTCTTTTTAAATGAGCTTATCTATGCTGTAACCCTGACAGGTTATGTTGTACAAGTATATGAAATTGTGAATCTGATAAGATATCGACTTTTTGACTCGCAGTAATGGTATTAGCATTTTCTTAACAAATAAACTTATGTATCTTTAACTGTTGACTAGAAATCGTGATTAAATAGCAACTTCTGGCATTGCTCTCTTTCCCTCCTTACATTTTTTTCAGCAGCCAGTCTTCCATTGTACCTTTCATTCATCAAGAGCAAGTAGCTTTAATAATAATCCTTTGCATTTGATATAGCGCTTTTCACGTCTTCTAGACGTCTCAAAGCGCTTTACAGAATATACTGTAAAGTGAATTGACCGTATATTTGTGGGCAAAACATGGCAGCCAATTGTGCGCAGCAGTGTCCCACGAACAGTCGTGGATTGAAAATGACCAATTTATTGTTTTGTTTTGGAGGGATTATTATTTTCACACACCCATTAGATTTTGTCACCATCTAGTTTAGATAGTAGGTGGTTGAGAATGGTGGCATCAACTGTTTGGTGGTCTCTGAGATGAGTAGCCTTTAGAATTTGCACTTGCCTCCACCTTTCCATCAGCTAGCTGTGAAAAGTGGTTACAAATGCCCTCCTGAGCTGAAAGGTGCTATGTAATTGTAAATTGTTGCTGTTATATATCATTTATAAACGCACACAAGCCAGAATCATTGGGGTCTAACATATTCAGATTGCTAACAGTAGTGATCTTGTATGCTAAATCTTTATGTCTAGAAGACGTGAAAAGCGCTATATCAAATGCAAGGATTATTATTATTATATGGAAAATCCCTTTCTAAATATAGTCCTGCACTAGGATCCGTGACCCTACGACCCCCATCCTTGCCCATCGCCACTTGCTTCCCATCACACAGAGGATAGTTCAAGATGCTGGTCCTCACCCTCCGACTTCCTAACCCCCTACCATCCTGTTCGCTCCCTCCGCTCAGCGGACTCTGGCTTGCTTCACATCCCCCCCCCACTTGCTCGCCCCACTATCAGCGGGTGGGCCTTCCCCCACTCTGCACCCACCCTCTGGAACTCCATCCCGCAGTCCCTCCGCCTCGCCCTCTCCACCTTCAAGACCCTCCTCTTCAACCGTGCTTTCGATATCCCTGCTTGCCCCCTGCCCTCCTCCATCCCCCACCCCGGCCCTCAGCTTGGATCTGAAATTCTGTCCAGCGCCTTGGGACATCCTCCCAACCTGAAAGGTGCTATATAAATGTCATTTTGTTGTTGTTGTTGGGGGGGGGGGGGGCGGGCGGAAAGAGTTTTGAACAAAGGCAATGTTTAAATTCCTATTGATGCCTATTTTGCATTTTGCTGCAGTGCTTGCAATCTTCCAACATTACGTGCATTTGATATGGCAAGTTATCATGTTATTGAGACGTCTCAAAGGATATACTGTAAAGTGAACTAAAGGGTGTTTTGTGGGTGTCATGCAGCAGCCAGTCGTGCACAGTAATGTCCCACACCTTGCATGTATCTTCGCCATTTTGTGTTGTTCGCCATGATTGGGGATCTCCTCCAATCATATTAAAACTTTATACCCAGTGTATGGGTAGAGATTCTTCCCACCCAAAACTTAAAAAAGATACTTTTGCTATTTGCTCAATTGGTTGACTCTACATTCAAGTGATAGATTAGCAAATGAACTTCCGTAACACTAAACTTATTTTTGTTTATTTTTGTAAACATAGAAAAGTGTTCAAACAATATTTTAAAAATGCAAACTGGAGGACAGTCTAATCATTCACCCCCCTCTCTCCTGCACTATTTTTTCTAAACTAAACCGCACTAAGTCCAACGGGACTCCTTTCATTAAGCTGAAAGATACATTAATGTGTTAATCCACAACCTTTAAATTACTGTAAAACATCTTGTGACATTTCCATTTAATTGTTGCTCAGTGCTTCTGAATGGCTCATATTGTGGAATACAAGAATCCAGGTTCCAATTTCTGAATGAGATCACAAATATCTAATTCTGCGGGAACACGGATGTGTTTAGGCCGAAACTCCACTTGGACCCATTTCCCTTCACGGCTAAATTAAAACAGGCTCACAGCAGCTGAGCAAGTCAGTGGTATAACTGCAGGAGTCAGTATTTCTGAATCCCTGCAGGTTAGACCAATCTTTTGTGCTTGTTGATGCTTTCCCTCTCATTCTCCAAAATAGTCAAGCTGCCATGAGTCTTGCATTAAGCTAACAGACATTGTCTAGCCTTCAGTGGGATACTGGTACAGTGAAACAAGCACAGTAGTGATTGCTCTTAAGATTCATTCTCATCTTCATCCTCATCCTGCTCATTGTTGTCATCTTCCTCCTCGTCATCTTCCTCGTCCCCATCCTCTTCGTCCCGATCGCCGCCACCTGCTCTCTCCTCCTCGAGCATCTTCAGGTATTCACTGGCCAAAATCTTCTTTGGTAAAATATCTGTAAAAAATAATCCCCACAACATTAAGCAGATTGAGAATTGCTTCAAATTGCGTCAAAGTGATTCCTATGTCTACAGTGATGGAGGTTTTGTTGCAACTAAGTTGAAAATGATGCAAAGAACACAGCTACCCAACCACTTAAGATGGCATCTGTAACAGGACGTCTCACATCGTGTAAAGCAGTAACTAAAAAGGTCTGGAGCCCTTGTTGCTCTTTGGTTGCTGGAGGAATAACTTATTTTTATAAAAATGTCACAAGATGTTTTACAGTAATTTAAAGGTTGTGGATTCAACATATATGTTGGGACTTTGAGCTCCAATGCACTACTGTAACATGGAGGCACTACAACAACAACAACAACAACAAGATTCCATTTATAGAGCGCCTTTCACGTCAGGAGGACGTCCTAAAATGTTGGAGGTGCTGACAATTGGATGAGACATTAAACTATGGTCCAGTGATATTGCACTCGACAGCTATTACCGTAAAGTGCTCTGAAAAGATATAAATGTATTGGAGAGAGACAGGATAAGAGGCCCAGAGGCAAGAGTACTATAAACTGAGCCAAGCTTGATGGATGAATGAAGTAACCTCAGTCCACCCTCACAATTACGTTTTGAACAAAACCAGTGCAATTTCATTTGACTTGATTTTAAGGAAAGATCATCCCTCTAGATTCGTGCTGAGCATTAGTTTTTTTTTAAAGGCAGACAGGAAACAACAACTTGCATTTATATAGCGCCCCTCAGTCTGGGTAGCATCGCAGAGCGCTTAAAGAGCTACCCTGGAAACCTCTTGTTCCTCCTCCCTCCACCCCCCTTTACTGGTGTTCAACAGTTTACAAACTCAGAGATACCAACCAGCCAGAAACTGAAACGTTTCAGAGTTCTCAACACAATCCGCGAGGTCGTTGTAGGTCAGTTCCTTTTTATCCTTCTTGCTGCTCTTGTAGGCATACAGGGCAAGGTACTGCACAAATTGCTCCTGCAAAACGACCACGAAATGGATTTGCAAAGTACCAAACCTTGCGCAAAATTTTTCGCTGCTTAGAGAATTCAGATATCCTGGCGTCCTGCTCAACTTTTCCTTCATCAATTTTTTGGGACGCCGATTCGAAGCCGTACTCCTTATGATTTAATTTGCACTGCGTTACATTTTACTTTAAGGCGATCAAACCCCGGTGTGGTTAATTGCCCTGTGGGTGAGCCACTATCTTTCATATTCCAGGCCTAACGTCTGAAAGGTGTGTACAGTACTATGGTGCTGCCTGGACTGCATCGGCAATACATTCCTCGCAAAACAAATACATTGGGTCAAGTTGCTCATCAATTGCGCATAACGCACTATTTTTTCCACTGACCCATTGCGAAGTTAATATCTACCCGTATTGCGCCCCAAATACATTATAATGGGTCACCCTGTACTGATGCTGCTGAGTTAGGGTCCGCCAGCCTCCAGGTCACACCAAGACTGCTTTCCTGGATAAGGAAAAGGGAGAGCGAGAGCTGGGAACACTCAGCAGGTCAGGCGGCATCTACGGAGAAAGGAAAGCGAGTCACCGTTTGGGGGGAGGGGTGGGGGGGGGGGGGTCCCCACGACCCTTCGTCAGAACCTTCTGGGGGCGGTGGCGGGAGAGGGGTTCGGAGGGACTGTGGGATGGAGTTCCAGGAGGGTGAGGGGCAGAGAGGCTCAAGGCTCGGCCGCCCGACCGTGAGGCGGTCCGGAGCCCGGTGTGGGGGGGGGGTGGGGGGCGGTTTGGTTGAGGGGTGATGTTGCGGTGTTAGGTGTTGGGGAGGCGCGAGGCCACGGTGGGCTTTGAAGGTGAGGACCACCAGCCCCTCCCCCCCCAGATCCCCTCTGCGTCCCTATTACCTGCAGATCCCCTCTATAATCCTCCCCTCATCCACATGGGGCCCCTTCTGTCATATACCCCTCATATCCCCCCCCACCCCCGCCCCCCCCCCTACCACTCACCGTGGCTTTGGCGGTCAGGAAGAGCGCGTCCTGGTTGATGCTGGAGACGTCGGGGCAGCTCTTCATGATGAGTTTGACTCGGGACAGGGGGAGGGAGGAGAGGGCGCGGGGGGGGCTGGGCCCGGGGGCGGCGCGCGGCGGGAAGCGCAGGCCCTCGCGCCGCTTCACAACCGCCACCGGCGCCGCCGCCATCTTAGCGGAGCAGCGCCGTCACACACACACCCACACACACACAGAGGGGGAGGGAGGGAGGGAGGGCGGCCTCACACTCCCCGCCCCCGGGGGAGGGGGGTTGGGCGGCTTCCCGCCCGGTCGCGCGTGCGGTGACTTGTCCTGTGGCCTCCGGCGGGGATCGGGCGCCACCGTCCCCGCGCTTCGAGCCCAAACCCCCGCGCAACCCGGTGCGCGCGAGGCGGAGTGGGCCCCCGTCCCGCAGTCCCCTCCGCCGCCGCCCCTCCTTCGAGGCCCTGTCTGGAGACTCTCCATCTCCCCCCCCGGGTCCGACACTCTGTCCAGCGCCTTGGGACGTCCCCTCCTCCTCCTCCGACGTGAAAGGCGCTTTACAAATGTAATTTTGTTGGGTGTGTGGGGGTGCGTGGGCGGGGTGGGGGGATGTGTGTGGGGGTGCGTGTGTATGTATGTGTGGGGGGGTGAGGGTGTGTGTGGGGGGGGTGGGGGGGTGAGGGTGTGTGTGTGGGGTGAGGGTGTGTGTGTGAGGGTGCGTGTGTGTGTATGTATGTGGTGGGGGGGGTGAGGGTGTGTGTGGGGGGGGTGAGGGTGTGTGTGTGGGGGGGTGAGGGTGTGTGTGGGGGAGGGGGGTGAGGGTGTGTGTGGGGGGGTGTATGTGGGGATGCGTGTGTGTGTGTGGGGGGGGTGTGAGTGTGTGGGGGGGGGGAGGTGAGTGTTGTGTCCGCCCCACACGTCATTTGATTTTCTTAACACCGTTTCAAAAGCACTAAACCCTACACCGGCCCCTCTGCTACGCACAGTGATATCGGGCGAGCGCTTGGTGAACTCTGGGCTTCAAATGTATTTTAATGGGCATCATCATCAACAACAACAACTTATATTTGGAAAGCGTCCATCACACCGGGAGGCCGTCCCAAGGCGCTGGACAGTCAAAGATCTGGACCTGAGCAGGAGGGGTGGAGGTCAGGGAGGGTAGGGGCAGGCGGGTGGCCGAAGGCGCGGTCAAAGAGTTCTTTACCAATGTAAAGAACAGTTTTATTTGGGGATTGTTGGCCACGACACCAGGAGCAACTTATCGGTTGCAGTAGTAAGTACCATAGAATCTTTAATATCTACCTGAACAGATGCAACTTCAGTTTAATAGTTCATCCAAATTATGGCACCTATGACGATGCCGCGAACCCCACCAGTACATTCGAGTGTCAGCCTAGACTGTGTGAATTCAAACCCACCACCTTGATTATTAATTATTAACAATATGTATGTAGTTAATAATCCATCCTTTTCATTGTTACATATTTAAGGACACCTGTAAATGTTTCTGTGTATGTTTGTACATGGTTTACACATCTGGATTTCGTTACTCAAATTTCCTCACTCCACACGCACGCTGTTAATAATCCCTCAAGAAAAAAACAATAATAACAATAATAATAATAATCCTTGCATTTGATATAGCGCTTTTCACGTCGGGAGGACGTCCCAAAGCGCTTCACAGGACACACTGTAAAGTGAATTGACTGTATATTTGTGGGCGAACGCGGCAGCCAATTGCGCACAGCAATGTCCCACAAACAGTCGTAGATTGAAAATGACCAATTTATTATTTTTTTTGTTTTTTGGAGGGATTATTATTAGGTGTGTGGAGTAAGGAAACTTGCCCAAGGTTTGGCCCTGCCTGGAATTGAACTCCGGTCTCTCATTTGCAAAGCGAGTGCTCTAACCACTGAGCCACAGGACTCCGAATAATTTGGTCACTTCAATCCACGACTGTGAGACACTACTGTGTGCAGTTGGCTGCCGCGTTTCGTCCACAAATATACAGTCGATTCACTTTACAGTATATTCTGTGAAACACTTTGAGATGTCTCGAAGATGTGAAAATGCACTATATCAAATGCAAAGGTTATTATATTACACATCTGGATGTCAGCTTGGCTCAGAGTCAGAAGTTATGGTGCAGTCCATAATTCTTTTCCTTCTGATATAAACCCTATAAATGTTGAAATGTCTTGCAGTGCTTCAAATTGCTTTTTGTTGGTTCCAGTCATTTTGCACATAGCAAATTCCCACACGAGCTATGAGCAATTTATGTGAAGGATTACTGACCTGAATAGCGAGAGAAACTTCTTTTTGCCACTCACGTGCTGGCATCTTTAATATTCATCCGAAAATTGCCAGACCAAATTTGAGTTAACAGAGATTAACTCTGTCCATCAGAGGGTGCTAGACTCATAATAATGATACGGGTTACACTGCAGAGAAAACAAATACATCTGTGATAAACATGTTAAAGAACATCAATTACCTCTGGGAACCTTGAACTGTGGAGTATTATATGTGTTGATTTTTGATGGGATTGCTTCATTCTTGAAAGGAGAAATTGCAGAGGATACCTTATGGAGGCGTGTAATAATAATATAATATTTTAAAGGAGATTGGAGGTACCTCTTGACAATGCAGCACTTGGAATGTCAACCTAGACTTTGAGATCAAGTCCTAATGTGTGGCTTAAATGCGCCACTTTCTGATCTGTGAGAATGCTACCAACTGAACGAGACCGACACCTGTTGTAATAATTCTGTAACATCTCAAGTCAAAGTCACACAGGGCTCTGTTAGCTTTAATGGACATGTCAATGTGCAAAAATCAAATCAAAACATTTGTTTCAGGAAGAAAAGTGAAACAAAATACTGTATGTATAGTGTAAATAAAATAATGTAGTAAATGATTAAATTCACTGTGACTTAACATAATTCACTTTAAACTCATTGCCCGTGCATTTTCTTGTCAATCTCTTCTGAAAAAGATATTGATATTGGATGAAAATTGCAACTTGTAATGGGTTAACACATCTTTTATCACATCTTAGCCAATTGATGCCTTAATTGATTGATTGGTCTGCAGATATGAACCTTGCCTTTACTGACCTGTCACAATGTCTGAGCCCAAAGCTGATGGTGGAGTACATTGCACTCACAGTGGTGGTCATTGCACTCAGAGGTGGTCATATCTGCAGATCAGTCAATAAATTAAACATCAACTGCCTAATTTTTCATTGGTGTTATTTAATATCAGTGTTAATTAACACTTCACAGATTACAGTTTTCACCATATAATTTTATGTCATCCCCGTGGTATGCCCCCTATTAATCATTGTCTGAAAATAGTGTCCGATCTTATTCTTTAGAGAATTACAGAAATTACAGCGCTTTGACTCACAGAGTTTATACGTTGTTAGTTTGTACACTGGAACAATATGTTTTTCTTTAAATACTTGTCGAATGATGTTATGGTCTTAGCTTCAACGGCCACTATTGGCAAAGCATTTTGTGTTCAAATAAATCTTGGCTTAAAACTATTTATTTTAACCTCCCCTTAAGTTTTCCAATGACAATTCTGATCTACTACTTGTTACCAATTCATGAACCAGTGAGAATAATCTTTTACTATTGATCCTTACAAAACCTATAATAATTTTGAACATCTCTGTTAGAAAGTGCTCCGAGACGCTACACCATGTAAAGGGTTATATATAAATGCAAGTTGTTGGATCACATCTTAACAAGAACAACAACAAAATTACATTTGTAAAGTGCCTTTCATGTTGGGAGGACGTCCCATGATGCTGAACAGTCGGGGATCAGGACTCGAGTGTGAGGATGCAGGGTTGGGATGAGTGGGGGCAGAGAAGTAGGAGTGCGGCTGAACGGTTGAAAAAGAGGATCTTGAGTGTGCCTTGAAAGAGGCGAGAGAGCGAGGTGAAGGGATTGTGGGATGGGTAGGGGCAGAGAGGCTCTAAAGCTGATGGTAGGGTGGGTTGGGCGGGAGACATGGAGCAGGCCAGAGCCTGCTGAATGGAGGAAGCGGACAGGATGATGGGGGATCAGCATGTTAGAGAGGTAGGAGGGGGCAAGGCTGTGAAGATCCTTGAAAGTGAGGACGAGGATTTTGAATTCTATCCTCTGAGGGATGGGAGCCAGTGGAGCCAGGCGAGGGGGGAGGTGATGGGGTCACGGAGACTGATACGGGAAAGGACACGAGCTGCAGAGTTCTGGATGATCTGCAGCTTGTGGAGGGAAGAGTTGGGGAGGCCGACAAGGAGGGAGCTTCCGTAGTCGAGCCTTGAGGTGACAAATGCGTGTATGAGGGTTTCGGTGGCCTGATGGGTGAGGCCGTGGCGGAGTTTGGCAATGTTGCGGAGGTGGGGGGGAAGGCAGAGCAGGTCATGGCATGGATATGGGGGGAGAAAGGACAGTTGAGGGTCGAACAAGACGTCCAGGTTCCTGACTGGCTTGGTGAGGTGAAGTGTGCATCCATGGATGCTGATGCGCCAGTGCCTGAGGTGCGGAGGCACTGGCGTGAACCAATCAGGAGGGCCTCGGTCCTGCTGACATTCAGTTGTAGAAAATTGGATCTCTGTTCCAAATCTTTCAAGCCTATCTTCATAAATATAATCCTCATCCCTAGTGTTTTACTGTGCCATGCAATTTTAGTTGTTGATCAGAGGTCTCCTGACTGTATGTTAACTGTAATTTAATGTACAGAAATGATATTAAATCGGCTCAATCATATTGACCAAGGTTTTAAGTCCGCAGATTAGTATCACCAGGACACTAGACTAATTTAAAAAGCAGCTTGATGCAGCGATGAGGGGATGGAAGACGGTAGATGTTCTGGAGGGATGAATTGAAGGGCTTCCTTCATCTGGACCAATCTTGTGATATTGAGACATATTAATACTAATCCTTGCCATTGATATAGTACCTTATCATAAAATCAAAATCCAAACACTTTACAGAATTTAGTGCAGAGTGTAGTGATTGTATTTGTAGGCAAATGCGGTAGAGTGGGGTTGGGGAAAAGGCAGCTCAATGGGACTAAATGAATAGCTTCAGAGAGTCAGCAATGGCTGATTTCCCTTCTGTCATTTTTTATGGTTCCATGGTCATCTTCAAATAGTGTCAAGTATGGTTAACCTGAAATATTGCAAATGTTTTTGCATTTGTCTATGCATTATGTATGAGATAAAATGACA